GAAGGAAAGAGAAAGACAGACAGAGACAGACAGACAGACAGACAGAAAGAGAGAGAAGGAGAGACAGAGAGACAGAGAGAGAAAGAGAGAGAGAGAGAGAGAGAGAGAGAGAGAGAGAGAGAGAAGAGGGAGAGGGAGAGAAGGAAGCAGAAGGACCTTAAATTGTGATGGGAACTGTGAGCTATAAACTCAAAGGAGAAGGTTGGTTTCCCAGATGGTGACTGGAGGTGTCAGCTGAACTCTCTGGGACTACATTTTCTCTTTGTTGTGAGTGAATCCAGAGATTCAGTAAGAAGACTAAAGTATTCCCTGTTCAGTAGCACTAGTTCCCCAGTTCCTGGTAAAATACAAACTTTAGAATAAAAGCACCCAACTTTGGTCCCTGGGGTCTCCAAATATCCGTTCAAAACCAAAACCCAGGGAACTCACTCCAGAAAAAATAAAACCATCACAAGTGAGAGACTGGGGAGTGAAAGTTGGGGAGAATTCAATGTCAGAATATCACATTTATATCCTTCATCTTCCACGTCAGGTGCAATTATGCTACAGAAACAAATACTATGATATTCTCGCTAAAGACCATACTGACCTCTGATCTGATCTGCCACAGATCTGAGCTGCTCATGGCAGTCTTGCAGAAAACAGTAAATATACTATCAGAATCAAAAGCAGATGCCTCATTTTGACTATAGGAAGAGCAACAACGTTTATATGGGTGATGGAAGAAAGAGCAGTATGTGAGTCCTAAGAACCGACCATGATAAGGCACTTGATGAATAAATTAAACTACAACGCTGGAAGACGGACACAGGTGTGACCAACACATAGCCCACAAGAGCTATGAATGTGGCAAAGACAAAACTGTGAACTTACTTAAGAGCGAGGTTTATTTATTTACTTATTTACTGGGAATGAGTGTTTTCCTACATGTGTGTATTGCCCCATGTGTATGTCTGGTACATGAAGAGGTCAGAAAAGGGCACAGATCCCCTCAAACTGTGTTGTAAGCCTATATATAAGACTGTTCCCTCCTACAAGAGAGAGACCTCTTAGCACTTGCAAAATAAAGACTCTCTCTCCCTCTCTCTCTCTCTCTCCTGGCAATAAAGGCAGTACATACATCCTCTTAGTACAAACAGCTGGACATCTGGTCTTTCTTTCCCTGATACCTCGGATTTGCTTGTGGCGAGGGTGCTGCAATTGGAGGTCCCACCGAGATCCAGAGAGACTTGGGAAGACTGGGAAAGATCGGCTAGAAAGAAGACCCAGGAGAGGAGAGACTCGAGAAAGAAAAGATTTGAAAACAGGTACCTCAACTTCTAACAGTAAAATTGAATGGTCAAATCCCCAGGCTTTTGCTTGAGAGATCACATTCTAAGGAGAAGGTGTATTGAATTAATCTCCAGCCTTTTGCCTGATCCATTGAGGTCAGGAAAGTAAAGGGGGACTGAGAGATCGCCCTCAAAGACTAGCCAGCAAGTAAGGCTATGAGGGTTTATTGGAAAGGGGTACCAAATTAGGGGTACCAGACTAAATCTCCAGGCCTTCACCTGACACCAAGGTTGGGAAAGAAAGGGGAACCTGAGAGATCACCTTCAGTTGGAGGGTGGATTGATTAAATCTTAAGGCTTTTGCCTGAGGGATCATCCTCGGTTTGAGGATGGATTGAAAATGGGTGAATTGAAAATTGGTAACAGTTAGTAAACGAGGTACTGTTATTAAGTGAAAGAAAAGGAAAAGGTAAAAGTATATGGACTGGAAAATACACGGAGAGTCTGCATACTGTGTGCTGTTGTGTTGTCTTTAAACTGTTTAATTGCTAAGAAAGGAACAAAAACTGCTAAAAGACATTTGATTATCAATGCTGCTGAAATAATCCAACTTACATGTTTTGAAAATGCTTTGACTTCTAAATTTAAATATAAGGACAGGTTATTTGGGAAAAGAATTTCTGCTTTTGTTTCCACAGAAAATAAAACGCTGTGGGTTCCTTCCAGACTAGTATGGATTGATGAAGCAGGACCTCCCAAAGCAGTGGCCCAGGTGATCCAACATCTAAAACAGCTGAGATAACGCAGCCTTGCAGACCGCAAAAACAAGGACTTCAACAGGTATCTGTTTTTTGTCATGATCCCCCTGGTATTTCAGCGCCCCTTAACAGTAGGAAGTAGTTTGGAAAGAATGACGCCCACATTCCCAAATATTGTTTATAAATGTTGCATTTATACAGGGTTTGTTATTGCTACAAATTTAAGGTCAATTTTGTGAGTCATCTCTAAAAACTTTTTACAAGGAGTGGGTATGGCTGTAGCCCCTGAGAAAAATAGCAAAAGCCTACAACATGGCCTGAGAACCAAAGAAATCTGTGTGGAAGATTCTATAGAGTAACAAACAGTTCAAACAAAATTTCAAAAAATAAAAAAGGGGGAGATATTGGGGCCTAGCCCCCACAGGGTCTCTGAGTTGTCAGCTGATAGCCACATCCTGTTTTCTAGTTCTGGCTTACTGCCCCCACATTGCTCCACTGACATCAGCATCTAGCAGGAGGAAAACATGCTCTCTTCCACCTGGGGTTTTTCCACTGTGTTATAAGACTATATATAAGACTGTTCCCTCCTACAAGAGAGAGACCTCTTAGCACTTGCAAAATAAAGACTCTCTCTCTCTCTCTCTCTCTCTCTCTCTCTCTCTCTCTCTCTCTCTCTCTCTCTCTCTCTCTCCTGGCAATAAAGGCAGTACATACATTCTCTTAGTACAAACAGCTTTCTTTTCCTGATACCTCGGATTTGCTTGTGATGCCGGTGCTGCACCCAGGACCACCCCAAGAGTAGCCAGTTATCTAACCCACTGAGCATGACATCACCAAAGCATGACATTTAAGTGTGTAGGGGATTTTTTGGTAACACAATCGTGTGGTTCTCAAATATGAACTTTGTAGAGCACGAGATTGTTTCACAGTGTCATACAAAATAAATGCATGTGTGTCCACAGCCACATGCACGAATGACTTCAGATAAAGGGTGTGCAGTTTTCAATCACAGGGGTCAAATTGGCACTACCAGGCATTACACGCGCTTATGGTGACTTAACAAGTGAAACAGAGCAGTTAATCACACCGTTGTAAACTTCCACTGCTAAGGATACTGATTGATGTTTTGTAAAAGATTGGTAAGTGTTCTTATTTCATATTTAAGGTGTGTCCATGCCTTGGCCATGTCTCTTTCATTGCCCATAGTACTTTACTATTGTCTTTACACTTAAAACTTTGAGCTGAGTGTAGCAAGAATAATAAAAACCCAGACACAGATATTGGGGTTCAAGCTGAAGATCAGAAAAGCAAAGCAGCCAGATACTAGCTCTTACCCCTACCTCACAATGAAAGGGTGATCCTGGCTCCATGAATCCTCAGACTGCAATGCACTCTCCATGAGTCCTCAGAGGCAATGCTCTGAGTTCCTGTCTCTTCCTGCCTTATGTACCTCTCTCTACCCAGCCATATCACTCCTGTCTCTACCTCCCTATTGCTAGGGTTAAAGGCATGTGATCCAGAGTGCTGGGATTAAAGGCTTGAGCTCAGTTACTCTTTTGGACTGATTTACTCTTGTGTAGCCCAGGATGGTCTTGGACTTGAAAGAGTTCCATCTGCCTCTGTCTCCTGAGTCCTGGGGTTAAAGATGTGTACCACCACTGCCTAGCCTCTATGGCTTGTGGATAGCTCTGCATTCTGAACCCTCAGGCAAACTGTATTAAATCATATATAATATAACATCACAGTTGAGATGTGCAAGGGCCTTGCTTTGTATTTTCCTGTCAATTAATTTTCATAGTAAAAGTGTATAGTTTTGTCACTCATTAGTTTTTCATCTCAGCATACCTCAACTCTTGATTCAAACATTCTTTTATATGTATTTACTCACCTTGTGTCTGAGACAGAGATAAATGCATGTGTGTGACACAGCACATGTGTGGCAGTCAGGGGTAATCTTTATGGAGATAATTCTCTCCTTCTACCTTTGTATGCATTCCAAGGATTGAACTCAGGTCACTAGGATCCTGCAAGCTCCCATTGAACCTTCTCATACAGTTGCACGGTTTTGTATTTTTTCCTTTTTTCATATTTATTTTTTTCCTGTGTTTATGTATGTAGGTGCACACATGATATGGTGTCTATGGAGTTTTTGATGGATGAAAAAACAAAATAAAAGGGAAGGACGTGAGTGCTCATAGGTATGGTGGAAGGGAAAGTTAATTGTAGACAAGTGGGAGAGCATAGCCAGAGGCAGAGACAGGGACATCTGGAGAGTCCAGAGTGGACATGACCAGGCTGAGCTGGGCCATGGGAGGAGGGGTGGAGGGTAAGGGAGAGGGGAGAGAGGGGAACCAAGTGCAGCAGGAGGCCAATGAGACAAAAGGGATGGGTAGCCAAAATGCCTGGATTAAATGGGGAAGAGCCTCTGGGGCAAGGGCAGCCCAGCCCCTGGGCTGGAGAATTTAGCACAGAGGGTGGGGTATCCCAGCCATATCCTGTAACAGGGAGGGTCTGAGGGATGCTGGGAGAGCCTGGAGGCCAGGTCTACTTTGATAAGTTAAATAGGCATCTCAGCCATTTGTCCCAGGATTGAAACTTAACAGTTCCAAGAAGAGATTTTTAGAAGAAGGATTGGGGGAAGAAAAGGGATGATGAATGCTTGTCCAGTCCTGAATTATGGCGTCACCCTGAGAAGTGAGTTCCGTTCCAAAAGGTGGATCAAGGGTTCATGTCCCTGAGACAAGCTGACGGAGATCTGCAGTTTCCTAATTCTCCCAGCCTTGTCACCGTGGATCAGAATAAAAATAACCAAGACACTATGTTCTTTTAAAAATCTTTTCCTAGACTGTAAGCGGAAGAGTCCGGCGTGTGTTTCTGCTCACTTCCTGTTTCTCAGCTCACAGGGAGCTGCTCTTTGAAGGGCCGCTCTCGAGCTCAGAACATATTTTGCTGATAAAATATGGCTTGAAGGATGGATTAGCTTTACAGGGGAGCAGAGTCCATTGGCTCATACACTATGGAAAACGTTTTCCAGCTGCTGAGATCCCCCTACAAAAAATACTGCAGTTTGGCCCCGCCCGGAAAGCCAGAAATTTCATGGGAGTGCAAGGCTTCAGGAGACAGGAAATGGAGCCATTCTTGCCTGTCAGTCAGCCCGATGGTAAGTCCCGCTGTGTGTGTGTATGTATTTACATGTATGTGTGTGTGTGTGTGTGTGTGTGTGGTGTGTGTCTTGTTTGGATTTGCATATGATCTTACTTGTGTGTATATGCCGTTTGTAAATATGTATGTCTTGTATGTGTGTGTGGTGTGTGTCTTGTTTGAATTTATATGTTTTTACTTGTGTGTATATGCCGTTTGTATGTATGTATGTCTTGTATGTGTGTGTTTGTTTGAGGATGTGTACTGTTTATGAACATTTGCACTTGTGTATATATGTGTTTATATGCCTGTGTGGCATATAAACTGTGTATAGTGTATAGTGTATAGTGTTTGTATTATATATGTATGTAAAGCTTATGTATCTATACATGTCGTATGCATTTTTGTGTATTCACAGGCATGTGTGAGTGGCTATGTATGTTTATTTCTATTCGTTTGTATTCATGTTTACATGTGTGTGTATGAATGGGCTACACTGTTTTTTATGTATTATATGTGTCATGTTTGGAGTTATATATGTGTTTAATTTGTGTGTACGTGTGTGTTGAATGTTTTCGGCTGTATAAATGGCATGTGTGACACATGTATACATTCATATTTGTGTGTGTTTACATGTATGCATGGTGAATATATGGTAGATATCATGTTTATATTTTTATTTAATTATTTTTAATTAATTATTTATTTATTTAATTATTTTCATAGAATATATTTTGATCATTTCCCCTTCTCCCCACCTCTTTACTGATCAAACTTTATGATCTCTCTTTAAAAAAATTTTAAAAACCTGAAGGTCAAAATAAACAATCAAAAAACCCATAAGACAAAAAGAAAAAGTCAAAACAAAATGAAATGAATCAAAAAGCCCACAAAACTAATTTTTCATTTGTGAGTCATAGATAGTTAACACAAAATTAACTCAACAGCATCTGTGGTTGTAAGTTCTTCCTCTCATAATGTTTTGTCAGGACATTTGTGGCTTCCAGTTTTGAGTTTTTAATGGGATTCCTGTGATTGTTAACATCTGTATGTGTTTCTCTTATGTTTTCTTTAGCTCTTCTTCATCTGTTTGTTTGTTTGCTTGTTTTGTCCTATTCTGGCTTGTTTGTTTTTGTTTTATCTTTTTTATTTTACTATTATTCTTCATATGCCTATTCGTTTTCTAAGGAGAGACAAAAAGGATGTGAACTCTGATGGGAGGGAGGTGGGGAGGATTTGGGGGGAGTTGGGGAAGGGGAAACCACAATCCGAATATTTTGTACAGAAAAAAATCTATTTTCAATAAAAGAAATGTAAGGCGAGAAAGCCCACAGAAAATCAGTTCGTTTTGTTTTATACATGTGTTTTTGTGTATGTTGTATGTGTTGCAAACATGTTTGTATGTTTATAAACCTGTGTGTGTGGCTTACATAAGTGTAAGTGGTGTGATAGACAGAGCTCTAGCACAGAAACCAGGAGGACTTTGTGTTCTGTGGTGACCTTTATGCTTAATGTTTGTTTTCATTCAGTGATGGGGACCTGAAGTCAGAGTCTTGCACACCCCACAAGCTTTCTACTCTGAGCCATGTCTGCTACCTCCAATGGTCAAGGCTCCCCGGGGCTCCTTCTAAGTTTCACTTTCTTTCTGAGCAATGTAACCAGGGTGATACTGTCTTTCTCATCTGGGATGGAGATAAAAATTGGAAGTGTACCGTGTGTGTGTGTGTGTGTGTGTGTGTGTGTGTGTGTGTGTGTGTGTGTGTGTGTGTGGCACTATCCAGAGAGGGTCAGTGAGGCTTGGAGGATTCAGCCTTCTTCCTTTGACAGTGCTGTGAGCAGGGTGCTGTGTATGTAACTATTGCCCTGGGTGACTCCTGTGCTCTGCATTCCCCAGCTTCATCTGCTGAGAACTGTTTTCTGTCTATCCATCTGTTCTCCTAAGAGCCAATGAAGTTAGAGAACACCGTACTGTAAGACTGAGGGGTCTGTAGTTTGTAGGCCTCCAGGTCATAGATGCAGGAGGCACAAAGACAGCCAAGAAAGTTGGAATGCTGCTCAAGCCAGGATGCAATTGACCAGAGCTGAGTGAGGCTATCTGCCTGGGATACTTCCTCACTCTTCCTTGGGAGCCATCAGACTTTCTTCAGCTTCCTGCACCCACATGTTAGCCCATTAAGCCAGACATTTGCTGAACGTCATAACGGCATGTCACAAAGTAGTGCCTTCAGTGACTCCCACTGGCTTCTCCCTGGGATTCAGAGAAGATGAGGCAATCTGTAGTTGAGTAGAGTAGAAGACCCAACAGTGCTGTGACAAGTCCAGATCTGCAGTGGGTGCCCCACCCCAGAGCTTTTGTCTGGATTCTTTAATCTGGCTGTGAGGGTCCCAAGAAAGTCATGGATCATGCAGCTTCCCTCCTAACCCCGTATGGAACATCAATCTAATAACAACACTGCAGGACCTTGAAACAGAGGATGATGTTAGCCCAGGAAGTAAGCAAGCGTCACACTCATCAGAGCAGTGTTGGGAATTCCTGGCTGGGATGCTGTGGCTCTAATTTGCAAAGAGAACTAAAAGGTGATCTATACCTGTGAATATGCTGTGACATTAGAGGAGCAGGTCTCTTCAGATTTAGGCCTATGATTCACCCTGAAAGAACACTGAGGCCCAGGCAATGTGAGCATCCTAGCCAATGACTATGTCTCTATTGCACACTAAGGTGCCCAGTTATCAGCAGAGTTCTGTCACACACTACGAAGGCCCCCATGGCTTCCACCTCGCTTGTAACTGTTGAAGACAGCTGCTGACTTTCAGCCATGTGAATCCCCAGTGCTAAAACCTAGGTGGTTCTTTCTAGACTCAAGACCCAAATCCTTACCCTCCCCATAACTTCCCGATCCTGCCCATGTAGATCTTATATGGTCTGAGACACAAAACCAAAACCATGATGCCTCCTTCTCTTCTCCCTGTTCCTCACCATTCTCCTCCGGACACCATTCCCTGCCCTGGGCCCTCAGTGCGCAGCTCTGGACACTGTCTACCCAAACAAATTCAGAGGCTCCTTTCTCTATGATAAATCATCTCTTCAACTCATGGTGGAGAATGCAGCAGTGGGCGTGGGGTTACTAAAGCCCCCCCATAATCCTCTTCCCCATTCTTCATCAAGCACATACATACCCATACATGTGGGATAACTTTGCCCTAACAAGAAAAAGACAAGTGCCCCTTAAAACGCAGTCAGTAAAATTTATAGGATGGAGGGATGGCTCAATGGATAACAGTGCTTGCCATGAGAACCTAACCCCTGAGTTTGATTCTGGGAATCCACAGGGGAAGGGGAGAACAGACTCTTGGAAGTTGTCCTCTAACCTTTCCGTGTGCACTATGGCACATTACTTACTGTGTGCATGCACAAGTTTATAAGTACATGCACATGTGCACGCATGCACACACACAAACACACACACACACAAAATAAAGTTATGTACATGTATTTAAATGTATGATTGTCTCCTGTAGGTGGAAGAAGGAGAATGTGGACACAGTCCCCAGAAGAGTCCCACAAGGCAGGTGCCCCTGGACTCCGTACAAGGGTTGACAAAAGGTACACTACTTTCCTATCAGAGGAGAATCGGAGAGGTGTAGATGGGAACACTGGTGTGCAAATGGACACAATACCACTTATTGAGTGCTGGGAGGAGAAGTGAAGGCCCTCATTACATAGATTTACCCACCGTAGCCAAATAAAGCAAGATAGCTCCTCTTTACACAAGAAAAAAACTAAGGAGAGGGATCCCTAATAGGTGGATGACCATAGGAGGTAAGGAATGCCAGTTCCAAGGAAAAGAGCCTTCACCTCTAAGCCTCTCCCTGAGAAGGACATGCTGGTCCCAGACATGGTAAAAAAAAAAAAAAAAAAAAAAAGACCAGTCTTTACCCACAGCTCTGGAAGCCAGTCCTTGTGTGGGTAGTTAGCTGTATCTGATGTGTCACATTGATTAGCAGTACAATACAAGCAAGCAGAATGTCACCATTGGCCATTGTTAAGGACTGGGCTCAGTCTTCTCAGAGATTCACCTTTGCCACCTATCCTAGGAAGATGGCATTTGGGGATGCCGGAAACCTACCCATGTTTTCTTTCTAGAAGAAATTATTTGTGACTCACTGTATTTTAACATGAATGATTTTTTTCTTTATGAGTTTGATGGGCTAGGGCCATCAGAAAAAAACCAGTTATTCTACCATATGGGAAAGTCATCAACACAGGCTAAGACTTTTTCACTTCTTACAGGAAGCAAAGTTAGTCGTTTATATGAAAAGTCCCTTCTCTGCATCTCACGATGCATTTAGCTTTTAAGTTTGAACTCCAGCTGCTCAGAAAAGAGTTATTCTTTGGCCCTAACTGTGCCTTGGCTAAGTAGACAGGAATGGACATTCAGCTGTTCATACTTAATCAAAACATCCATGAATCCACTCAAATTCATTTCTGTCCCTATTTGGAAAAGCTCAAGAGAGCCAAGATGATTGCAGGTCAGCCTGGGATGCAGGTAGAAGCAAAACCAGAGTATGCTAAGGTCTGAAGGCAGAGCCTAGCTGCCTCTGGCAGGGTTAGCGCTCTGTGATCTGAGACCCATGGGAACCACACTTGGAAACTACCATTTGCCACTTTGTGTGGTTTGGGTCTTAGTACCTGCAGGGCTGGGAGAAGGGCCTTTTCTTCCTAGCCCCCAGCCCCAGCTGTAATTAAAAATCTTGACGTTGGATTAGATAGTGCTTAGTTGGCATATGAGTCTCCCTTCTCAGCTGGTGGCTCTGATTTCCCTCTTTGTAGGAATGTTTACCTCTGCCTTCTAGGACACAGGCTAAGAATATAAGCCCAGGGACAGATGCTGGTCTTTGTCTTTGCTACTTTCCTCTTCCTGGGACTCTGTTTCTCAGATGTGCAGGGGCCTGGCCTCTAATAAACAGAGAAAATAATCTCTGCCCCATTTCCCTCTGATGGTTTGTTTTGTAAAATTCTTTTTCTAGGTCTAAAGGAGAAAGAGCTCATCCCACAGAGACTGCAGATCCTTCTGGTGGGGAAAACAGGAAGTGGGAAAAGTGCAACAGGAAATAGCATCCTTGGCAGGCAAGTATTTGAGTCCAAAATCAGCTCTAGACCAGTGACCAGGACCTTTCAGAAGGGGAATAGAGAGTGGGATGGAAAGGAACTTGAGGTGATCGACACCCCAGACATTTTGTCACCTCAGGACAAGCCTGAGGTAACAGCTGAAAAGATTTGTGGAGTCTTTTCTTCTCCAGGGCCCCACGTAGTGCTGCTGGTGATTCAGGTGGGCCGGTACACTGCAGAGGACCAGCTAGCTGCCAGGCACCTCCAGGAGATCTTTGGAAAAGGGATCCTGGCTTACACCATTCTGGTGTTCACTCGGAAGGAAGACCTGGACGAGGGCTCCTTGGAAGACTATATCCAAAAGAACAGTAACAAGAGCCTGGATGATCTGGATGTTGCATGTGCGAGGAGACACTGTGGCTTCAACAACAGGGCACAGGGGGATGAGCAGGAGGCCCAGCTGAAGGACCTTATGGAGAAAATAGAAATGATCTTGTGGGAAAACGAGGGCCACTGTTACACCGCAGAACTTCCAAATGTTCCCAGCAAAGCAGTTTAACCACAGAGCACGGTTTGAGGTCCTGGCTGGAAAGGCTGCCCCAGATCCAGACGCCCTCTGAGAAGACCTGTAGGTACCTGATAGGGAGAGCATCCATATGAGCACAGACTGGCCATAAGCAGGAGTGTCTTAGTGTTCTATCGCTGTGAAGAGACACCATGACCATGGCAACTCCTGTAAGAGGAAGCATCTCGTTAGGGCTTGCTTACAGTTTCGGAGGTTTAGTCCATTATCACTATGGCAGGGAGCATGGCAGCAGGGTAGGCAGACCTAGTTCTGGAGAAGTAGCTGAGAGTTCTACATCCAGATCCACAGGCAGCAGGAAGAGGGAGACTCTGGGTTTGGAATGGGCGTTTTGAAACCTCAAAATCCACCCCCCAGTGACATACTTCCTTCAACAAGGCCATACCTCCTAATCCCTTCAAAGAGTGCTACTCCCTGGTGACCAAGTATGAGAATGAGCCTAAAGGGATCATTCTCATTCAGACCACCATAAGGACATTCCATCAGCAGCTGCAGCCTGTGTCCAGCCCTTGTTGCCTGCTCCCTCTGTCCCCACAGAGAACTTTCCAGGCCCTAGGTAAGATGTGGCAATGGGGTGAGGCCTCGGTTCAGGGGTCCCAGCTACATTCTGTGTCCAGCACAGTGCCCTGACAGGGGGCCTTCTCTCCCACTGATATCACACTTTATGTTTTGCGTCTAATCTCTGGTACAACCAAAGCGTCTTGCCATCATCTGGCTCTTTCTTTCATGTAAGTTGTACAGCTGCCTAGCCAAGGTCATCAGGAATGAATCGAGCATTTCTTTGCCTTCATCCTTACCCATAAAGGGGGACTGACATTATGATTACAAAGTGTCTGCCCTGTGTAGTGGGTAGAAAATGACAACGAGAGAATAGAGAGACACAGATCATCAGTTAGGGTTTTCTTCCACAGAGTGAGGTGTTTTAATAGGTTGTGTTCTATAACCATGTTCTAAACTTTTGAGAGACTTTGCTGCAATGACCACATGAGCTCAATGACTCAATCTGAAACATATATGCCCTTCCTGGGATGGGGGGGTAGTGCCTCCTCCATCTCTTGTGAGCTAAGCACAATTGGACTGAGCATATAGGAGCAGACGACCATGTGAATGCAAACCTTGCAACAGAGCTGAAGGCATACAGGACATGGCAGAGATCCTGAGGAGTCAAAAATCTAAGGGAGCCAACCCAGAACCTTCCTGTGTATTGTCTCCCCTGTGCTCCACCACATACCCCCAATAAAGCCTTGGTCAATTGGTACCATTTGCCTCTATGATTTTTGTACAATTTGGGAAAAGAAGTTTGAACTGATTGGTAATCACAGTGACTCTGATATGCATGGCACTATGTATCCTAGGCTATGGAAGAATGTGAATAGGAACCTAGAGAGAGGTTAGATAGATAGATAGATAGATAGATAGATAGATAGATAGATAGATAGAATAAAAATGACACTTGATTCTTTTGAACCATAATCAACAATCTCATGGGCACTTCCTATGAGTGGAGTTGGAGTAAGAATTGAAGGAGTAAGCCTTGGCCTAGGAGAACCTTACCCTGAGGCTATAGGATACTGGGGTGTCTACATCGGCATGGAGCATTGAGAATTTTAGAGAGCAAAGGATAGTTTCATACTTCCATGAACCTCCTTTTCCATGGCAGGTGCATGAATGGGGTGAAGGGAGGGTCTACATATGTAAATGAGCTCTGCAGGAAGATCATTTGGAAGGGTGAATAGAAGGAAAGGAGTCTTTGAAAGAAGGGAACCTGCAAAAGAAGTTAGGTGCTTAGACAGCATGTATGGCGGAAACCTGGTTTCCACAAGAACTCTTCAATACAGGGATCTCTCCCTGGAGAGATGCTCCTACAGAGAAGGTGTAGCCAACAAAAGAAGGAAACAGGACATTGGCTCAGACCTCTTAAAGGAACAACTGTACAAGCTCTTGTGCCTCAGATGCACCTGAACTTCTGTGAGATTCAGGAAAGGTCCTGGGGGTGTGACCAGCTGATGGGAAGCTAACAGGAGGAAGGAGGGAACAGACTCCCGATTCCCTTTCAGGGACATCCCTACCAATTCTTCACCCATGCAGCAGAGACTGAGTTCCCTTCCCCACAGAGGGTTGGGAAGTGGAGTTGTAAGGACCACGTGAGGACTGTCAGGACCCAGAAGATATAGCCTTGGGTACTGCTAGCTGCTTATCTGCAGGCCTGAGTCCAGTCTCCTCTATCTGCCTGGAAAGAGGAACTTCTAACCTCCCTTGCACAGGCAAAAATGTCATAAATCACTTCTTTGGGCAAATGGCAGCCATGGCCCTGGTTTGAAATGTTGCTGGGAAGTACCTGATGAAGTGAATGGACTTCCCTGTATTGTTCTGACTTCTCCAAACAGGAAACAGACTGTTTCCTCAACCCTGGTTCCCAGGAGCCGGATATGACCAAGGCCTTCCCTCCTTGATCCCCTCCTTCTGCCCCGAGGTAGCCTCAGCACTGAGAATTGGGCACAACCGATCAGGCATTTTATTCCCAGACTGAATCATCTATCTGAAACAAGAGTATTAAAGATAAGCCTGGCATTTTGTAATAATATTCCAAGGATACAATGGATCTATAGGTACTGTGTATCTATAGTAATTCATTCCATTACTGAGCAGGGAGGGAAAGGAGTCCTGAGCAAAGAGAAGGTGGTTGGATCTCAGGCTTGCTCTGTAGGAGGGCTTAGATAGCCTGCCAGCTATCTGCAGTTCTCTGTGTAGGTTCTAGAGTCAGATGGACTCTTCAGACCACATTCTGCCCCTCTCCAATAAGGCTCCTTGTCTGCAAGCCCTGACAAGTCAACTTGGAGGTCTTAGCTCAGATAATCAATGTCTGTTTCTCAGCTCAGGAAGTATCCTTTCGCTGTCATGGTTGACTTCTCCCCATGTGTTACAACTGCTCTACAATTCCCTGTGGGATGCGGGGATTGCTCCCCCATTAGCCCAGGCATGTTACATTAATATTGTTTGTCTACCCCTCAAGAGATAATTCTCTACAGTGACTTTGCAATCAAAGTTCTGAGCATATATGTGGAAAGATAAGCACCATCAGTCATGTTTGCCTCCCTTCCTACTCAGCATTCTTTGAGAGCAACTTCTAGACTCTGAGTCACAAGGAGAAGCAGGAGAACAGGTTTTTTTCTTACCAAGGTGAAGGAAGTGCAGAAACCCACAATACTTCTGCTTATGTTTCTTGGTCATATGGCTGCTGCTGGCCACAGGAAACCCTGTGGAAAGTAGTGCTCATGTGGACACTTTGCTTTCTAGGGAATGGTGTAGGTCTGTTAATAGGGAAGGAGCAAATGGTAGTAATGACAGAAGACTAGTAGTATGATGAGTACCAACAGGTGATTTGACTTCTGCTCCTCACTCTGGTGCTGCTGCAGTCTAATTCTTACAATGACCCCTGTAGTCTTGTTAATTCTACAAAGATGGGTCAAGAAATAAACCCTCAGAGTGTCAGTCTGGTTCCAAATTACACCGAGCTTCTTGCTGGCCAAACTCCTATAGAGACACACTGGATAGAGAGAAATCAACCAAACCTAGAGAAAATGAAGGTGTTTGGGTTCTTGAACTAAGGAAACACGCTCAGAGACTTCTCCCATTGAGTGCTTTGCTTCAGATCAAAGCTCAAGGGGTGAGAAGAGCTGGAGCCCCTGAGCGTTTTATTTCCTGGATCAACACCATAAAGACTAAATTTGAGGTACATGTTTGTCTAATTTATTCCGTTGGGTTAGCCTTTGGGTTTTTCCCTTGTGGAATGAGGCCTGTTCCTATACTGACTGTCTACAGTTCCGCTGTTTCAGATATTATCACCTAGTGAGAGAATCTGAGTGGTGTTAGTGACAGTAATTGGAAAAGTCATAGCAGTAACAATCCATTCTAAACAAGATGCCCACACGAAGAAGGCTATCATCTTCTGTTAAATTTGCATTGGTGTTTTGCACTAATATTAGAAGATGATCACTACTGTATATTTTCTGTGTGTTTTTATGAGGTGAGAATTGCATTTCACAAAACATCCAGTATTCCTTATATCTACCAGGTACCTAGAAATTGTTGAAAATAAAGTGTGGGCCAAGGTCTGATAATATTGTCCAAACACATCCCCGAGTGTGACATTTGTGTGCCATTTTAGAATATCAGCCCTGAGACTGAGATCCTGCGCTAGACAAAACAAAAGGCATTTCCCCTGCTTCAGGTATTCCTAGAAAATAGCAGGACATCAAAGACATGCTCCCTAGGGGAATCTGTAAGAAATGGACACACACAAAGCGCTGATCAAGTAAGAAAGAGTATCACTTTTGCCCAGTGTACTGCTCCGCCTAGCATGTGACTCTCTGGTCATTAATGAGGGTCCACAGCAGGGACCCACAGCCAGCAGGGCTAAAGTTTCTCACTCTTTCTACCTACGTGAAAGGTGCCCCATAAAGGGCCAGCATAATGAGAACAGTAAAGGAAGACTGTCTGAAGGAGGCCTGCATTGCGGCCTACAAAATGGAAAGAGAAAGAAAACGTGTTTCTTTCTTCTCATCAGGGGCCCAAAGGGAGAACCATCTGCTCTCTGCTTTTGAAAAGTACAAATATAAGCAGGAAATGCGGTTCAGTGGTTTCTGGGCCTGCCCAGGAACAGAACAGAGGGAGTGCTGACCTTCCTGAACAGGGGACACTCAAAAGTTTCTCATGGTGGAGTTGCCTCTCCTCCGGCACGGTTTTACCACACTTCCCATCTGGCACCACCCAAAATTTCTTGCACATTTTAAAGTGTTCAGTCAGCCAAAGGTTTTGTTTTGTGACTTCATGGGAGTTCTTCCTTCCACAACAAAAAATGTAAGTATTTAGGAGCCAGGTGTGGAGGCACATGTCTTTAATCCCAGTACTTGGGAAGCAGGGGCAGGCAGATCTCTGAGTTCGAGTCCAGCCTGGTCTACAGAGTGACTACCAGGACATCCAGGGCTTCACAGAGAAACCCTGTCTCTTAAAAAAAAAAAAAAGGAACAAATTTTTTTAATAGTTAGTGTTTTCCTGAAGCTGGCCATAACTGAAGCACTGCTGTGTGTGATTAACTCAGCAAGCATTTGAACATGTAGACTTCTGAGGGTGATTGCTGCACAAGGATCTCACTCTGCACTGTCAGGAATTCGGGTGACAGAGGATCTGAGGCTTCCGCACAGTGTACGGGAACCTTCAAGATCCAAATTGCAATGAGAGACTTTGTCTCAAACAAGCAAAACAAAGCAGAGAGAGTCTGTGCGAAGGCTCTGTGGGTAAAGGCACCTCTACCAAGCCTGAGAACTTGAGGTTGGTCCCTAGGACCCACATGATGGAAGCAGAGAACCAACCCACACAAGTTGTCCTCTGACCTCACATATATATGCACTGTGTTCACATACGCACATAGATAAATGTAATAAAAACATAAAAATTAAGGTAGAGGTTGATTGAGAGACTCTGCTGGCTTCCACATGCACGCCTACACACATGCACATGTACCAACCCACACACATACAAAGTACTTGTGGGGGAAACATCTTAAAGTAGAACTATACGATCCTGTTGGGTATGTGTCCAAAGGAATCATAAAGTACAGATACATACATGACCATGATCATTATCACACTGCTCAGTCTAGGAGCCCATAAAAGGATGAATGGATAAAGGGAATATGACATATACACACATGTCCATTGAAGAAAAGATGCTGTTTTATTTGCATTATATTAGTAATCTTTTTGTTTGTTTTTGTGACAGCGTTTCTCGTGTAACAGCCGTACCTATCCTGGAACTCGCTCTATAGACCAGGCTGGCCTCAAACTCACAGAGATCTGTCTGTGTCTGCCACCAGAGTGCTGGGATTAAGGGGGCAATGTGTGTTGTCAAATCACAAAACATATTATAAATATATGAAAAAAGTCACAATGAACTCTTTTTAAATAATTAACATACAGTAATAAAATGAATAGTTTTCTATTTGTTCAATGTGTCTTTTACATCGTGCATCTTGATCTCATTTAGTTCCCCATCCCTTTGCAATTGCCTTCTGCCCTTACAACAACCCCAATATAAAACAAAAGAGGAAAAAATCTAAAATCTCACCATGGAAGCTGCCATGTGACACAATAAGTCATGCTATAAACCCTTTGTCCAATGTCTTTACTTGCAAGTGTTCATTGCAAAGAGTCATTGGTCTGGTTCGAGGCCTCTGCTCTCTACTACATCATCGATGCTGGGACCCCATTGAGACTCTTCTCTGATATCCTCCTGTTGACTGTGCTGTGGAGATCCTGCAGCTTTGGATCTGAGGGTTGGGCCCCTTCACAGATGGGGTGGATGTTACGGTGGGCCAAGTCATAAGCCTGGTTCTGGGCCTGGGCACGGTTGGTCTGCCCCTCAGTTCCTCACCGTCCTCACCACCATGGTGAACTCTCTAGCATTGCCCCAGCTAATTCTCCCCTGCAGCATGAGCAAGGGGTGGGACCAGTTCTCTAGCTTTCATGCCCTCAGTCCCCACCCACACCATCAGGGCCAGCTCTGCTGTATGGCCCATGCAAGGTGCAGCGGCCACTCTCCCGAGTGCTGCAGCCGGTGAGCGGCAGGAACACTCCTCTTGCTCTTATGACCTCAGGACCAACTCCTCCTCCTGCTTCAGGGGTTGATGGGGTGGAAGGGGGAGAGCATCTTTCCAACCTGCCCTCCCAAGTGTTGCAGCTGGTGGGGTGCAGAGACAGCTCTCCCACTTGCCTTAGGCATTGATGGGTGGAGGGAGGAAAGGGCGTGTCTCCCATGCTCATGCTGCTGTTTGGCAGATGAGGGGCAGGGCTAGGTCTCTGGAGCTCATGTTATCAGGGTAGGCTCACCTGTGTGTGCCCTTGTAACAAGATCAGCTCTGCTGTGCTGTCTACATGAGGCGCAGGGCTTGCTTTCCGTAGTGTTGCAGCTGGTAAAGGGGTCATCTAGAGGAGAAAGGGGGAGGCATCTTTACCTCATCCCCGCCACTTCACCACAGCCGAGGGAGGGGGTGTCAACTCTGTCCCTCTCATGCTCTCAGGACTGCTGTCCCATGCCGCCTACAGGGTCAGTTCTCCTGTGCTGCCCAGGTGCTGCCCAGGTGATGTGCCGGGCCCACTCTCCTGAGTGATGCAGCCGGTGAGAGATTGGGTCAGATCCCCCACCTGCTGCAGATGGTGAGGTGTGAGGGGAAGAGGGGAACTCTTCCTCGCCCATTTCACCACATGGGATACGAGGCCTGCTCTCCCATTACCACACCCTCAGGGCCTCAGCTCTATTGTGCTGCCCAGGGAAGGTGTAGGACCCTCTCTCCTGAGTTCTTGAGCCAGTGAGTGGTGGGACCATTTCTCCCTAGTGTTACAGCCAGTAGGATTGGAGCCAACTCTGTACAGCCCTGTCCTCTCGGCTTTTGGTGGCGTAAGGGGCCAGGGACATCAACGGAGACCAGGGCTGTGTCAAGCCAGGAACCCAGATGTGGGTCCCAGACATCATCGTGACCCTAGGTGACAATCAAGCCACCACCTCAGCCTGCTCCCTTCCTCTCCTGCCTCTTCAGATACAACTCTGTCCACAGGACTGAACCATTCTGTCTCTTTATCTCTGTGCCACACCCCACCGTATTTCTGCTCACTCTAATAGCATCCCTGTGGCTTGTGCTGCAAAGTGCTGGGTGTGCCTAAGTTTTCTCCTTGGAGCCAGGCAGACAGCCCCAGGCCTGCATGTGGGGCTCCTTGTCCCACTCAATTGGCCTTGATGCTGGGCTGAACCATGAATCCTCATCACAAAGAGATCATTATGGTGCCCAACTGCCCTGTGGGTGCAGAGGCTGCTGAAGTCCTATGGCAGGCCAACTTGAGAAACTGAGTTTCACTCCCAGAACTTGTGTGAAAAGCTGCACGTGGTGGCATGCACTTGTACTCTCAGGGCCGGGGAGGCAGAGGTAACAGCATTCTCAGGGACCATGGGCCAGCCAGTTCAGTCTAACTGGTGAGCTCCATGTATCGCCCAGCTAGCTCAGTTGGTAGATCCTGAGACTCTTAACTGGTGAGCTCCAAGGCAATGAGAAAAACTAGCTCAAGGGAGATGAATGGCATCACTGAGGATGAGACCTGAGATCATCCTTATCCTCCATATATGTATACCTTCCTGCATAGACACAAATGTGCATGCATACAAACACACACACACACATATGCATGTGCACCCACATGCATAACAAAACAAAACAGGAGACAAGGAGGTGCCATGGGGATAATGTAAGTCTGGTTTTAAAAACACCTTAAACTTTTTTACCAATAAAACAAAATTCATCTCTGTGCTATTACAGCAATGTCATCCTGCAAGACAAAACAGATTCTGATTGTGAACAAGTATGAGGCAACAGAAAAGTTTATTATAACAATAATAAGCAAATTAGCTGGATGGGGCAGAAGCGGTACAAGCTGGATGTATTGGGGTGCAGGGTGGGGTTGGAGCAGCCAGATAATTTCTCAAGAAGAGAACAGACTTTATCAAACTGGTTAAAAGGTTGACAGAGAGCTTCTAGAGGTACACCTAAACATAACTAAACACTGTAGTACTGTCTATTAAAATACTAATTAGTGCTCATCCTGGATTAGTTGACTTATGAGATCTGCTTTGCTTCAAAGGGCAGACAGGGAACAATTTGAGGCCATTCATGAACATGTAATTAAACAAACCAAAATTAATTGAGAACTGTACAGTCATCTACTCCTGCCCAAAGATTGCCTCTTGCAAAGAATTGAACTTCCTAATAAAACACAGAAGACTGTTGTCCAAAAAATGGGCAGCATTGTATAGAAGTCGCAGGTGAAGATTATTGTCAAGAATTCAGAAGAGGACAAGTGGGCACATCTTACAGTCATCTTCTAGAGGCTCCTGGGGGGGGTTCTCTGAGGAAGAGCACAAGGGTGGCAAGCATTAATACATTCTTCTTTGTAGTTCCACAAATTCAGAATTGGTCAGTTTTTGTTAAGTCAATTGAACATCTACCAACTGCCAAAAGTGACCTTTACTTCATTCTTTAGTTCTGGAAGACAGAAACTAGAGCATTTGAATATTGAGGAGTGAGTCCTGTAGGGCAGAGTTATCAGGAAAAAGATGCAGAAAATGGAGATGAGGTCTAGTCTTACTGACTAGGTCTATTAGTCTTGCATAAAGTGATTGATGATAAAGCGAGCAACCTCCCATACTTTTAGGATTACTTCAAGTATTGTGTTTTGGTTCTCAACTTCCCTCCTGGCATTTTGCTGTCTCTCTGCATAGAAAGCTTCTGTTCTGTAGAATTCATTCTCCATTTGTGCCTTTCTCTTTTCCCTCTCCAGCTGATCTTTCAGGTCTCTAATCTGTTCTTCATACTCCTCTCTTATCCGTGCGCGATCTCTCTCCAACTGCTCTCTGTACCATTCTTGCTTCTCCTGGGTTTGTTTCTGAATTTCTTCCTCGGCACTTCTGTACATCTTGTTGGTAAAGCATTTTTCACCATTTTCCATCACCATGCTCTGGACCAAGGCCAACAGCTGTGTCCTCTGGTCCTCCTGCTCCACTCCCGATGCTTTGTTGTTGAACAAACAGTAGCGATCCTCAAACTTACCGACCAGCTCCTGAATGCCTGGAGCATTCTCTAAGTATTCATGGATATCAGCATCTTCCAAGTCATCCTTCCTGGTGAGCAAGAGAATCATGAATCTTCTAGCCTTCTTTCCAAACATGCTCAGAATCTTCTGTGTAGCCTTATGATCTTCCACACTGTAGCGCCCCAATGGGACCACCAGGAGCAGAGCATGAGGCCCTGGGGAGGTCAGGGCAACACAGCGAGCAATCTCTTTTCTTGTGTCAACATCTGATACCTCAGTGTCAAAAACACCGGGCGTGTCCACGACAACGAGCTCTCTCCCACCCCAAGTACTCACTCTTTTCTCGCAGACCTTGGTAATAGATTTGGCACAAATGCCAGAATGAAAGACTTTCTCTCCAAGGATGCTGTTCCCTGTGGCACTCTTTCCTGCTCCAGTTTTTCCCAGTAAGACAATTCTCAGTTGAGAATTTCCCTGGTCTTTGCTTCCAAGCTCTAGAACATCAAGGAAACAAAACCAAGTGTTAGACTCAGCCCCCAACAGGTAAGCACATAAAGTCCCACCATCCATTGCCTGCTCTCTTGCTGCTTGTGGGGTTTCCCCTTGTTGTCACCTCTGCCCTCCCAGGGTCTACAAACAGCCTCTGGGTCTAAAAGGCCATCTTGAAGGACTTGACATCAAGGAGGTACACCAAGTACCTCCCTTGATCTCTTTTCTTCACTGCCTCTTTTCAATATTCTTTTGAGCTCCTCATTCTGACCCTTTGTGGCTTCCAAGCCCGCAGAGGAAGAAATAAGAGTTTCAGAAGAGAACTGTGAGCTGCTTCTGACAGCTGTCCCACTAATGGAATCCAGGGCAGAACACAAAGTATGAGTTTGGGGCATCTGCAGGGAAGGATGTAATTTTTCTGGTTTATACTTAAAAATGACTCTTTCTTCTTCCGACTGAGAGCCAAGTAGGGGGATGTCCAAGCTTTGAGGTAGTTCCCCATGCTTGGGAACTAGAATCCCAGGATGAAAGAAATGAAATGACTGAGAACACTGTCTGAGATGATCTAAGAAAAGATGTGAGAGTAGTTCCCATTAGTATTTACTTAGCTTCACAGTGGAGTGCCCCATTTGAAAGGTTCTTTCTTGTGGGCATTGTTTTCTTGGTCATAGGAAGGAAGAATGGGAAAAGGCACTGGTCTTAACTCCTGTGCCATAATTAGCCAGTGCTGATAGGTGTGATCCCGTCCCTGAATCCCTTCCTCTTCAGGATGTAGATTTTCAGCTCTTTCCAGTAAAATGTAGCCTGTGGGTCTGGATCTGTAGGACACTATGACATGCTCTGGAGGACCAGCATGCAAAACTTCCAAGAGCCTTTAAGCAGCATAGCCTGCATGCTCCTCTGGCCTCTCTGCAGCTGCATGTGAGGACACCTGGGGTGAGATCCCCACCACTGTGGCCTGCCCAAGAGCTAGTTGACTACACCAAAGTTTCTTAAACCACTGGCTATAACCCCCCTGTGGGACCATAAAACTGAACATAAGGAGGAGGAGGAGGAGGAGAAAAAGTTAACAACAGTAAAGGATTCTGAATGCATAATGACTAAAAAATATTTCAAAATCAAAGGTGTAATGAATTTGGAATGTCTCTGACAGCCTTCCCAGTGTTTTGTGATGAACCAGTAACCTTGGTTCTGACCAAACAACATGAACACTTTGCCTTGCTCATACCATGCAACACCAACATTTTGCCTTGCTTATACCATGCAACACCAATAAATACTTCCCAAAATTTCTTGACTCAGATTTGAGACTATTGCTGCTTTGTATTATGCACTTAGTGAATGGCATTCTTACAATTGATTATTGTAAAATTAAATGCCAGCCAATCCTGAAAAATGTTCTAGACACTCTATTCTGCAAAATCAAATATTCAGTCCAGATTTACATAGCCAAAGCAAGCATATCCACCTCACTAGTGTGCAATTATGCATTTTTGAAATTGAAGAAAAACAACAATGAATTCAATAACTTTAGTTTTCTTATTTTATTTCTTTGAACATGTCATATACTTCTTCAGTGTTGTCAAGGGCTAGCTGTTAAACACAACTTGTACATAGTTATAGTGTATAATACTGTGCCTTAAAGAGATACTCACAATATTTAACATTTCTATTGCTCATATAACTACATTTTGTGGTGAAAACACTTAAAATCTACTTTTTATCAACTGTTAATAATGTAATTAAGTATGCTCACTATGTTATATAACAGGTCTCCAGAATGTATTTATCCTATCTAACTGAAATTCCTCACAATATGAACATAAGGGCAAATATGTTTTAATCTTTAAGAAATGGTAGATTATATGTGTATATATACCAAAAATTAATTTCAAATTTCTTATGTTTGACCATTTTATATACCTATGTACTTAGGGTCACATAAACATTATTTGAGGAAAAAGCAGCAGGGAAGACAAAAATTTAAGAAGCCCTGAAGTACACGCATCTGCCAGTCTGTCAAGACCCTGACAGAGAACCACTAGCTTGCCAAGGTACATGAGTGACACATGTGTGAGCCTATCCAGTCTCCGACAGGGAACCACTAGCTTGCAAAGGTACATGAATGGCACATCTGTGGGTCTATTGGGTCTCTGACAGGGAACCACTAGCTTGTCATAGGTTCCTGAGTGATTAGCCAACTTTCACAGATGTGATACAGACCACAGGAATGCATAACTCACAGCATCTGGAGTCAAAGAAATGGCTTCTGTTTTAAGCTACTACATTGTAAGGTAGTTTGATAAACCAGAAGAATCTCAACTAACATGGTGGGCAGAGGAGTTGTAGTGTTCAGTGAAACACTGATTCCTTAGAACGGGGACACTGGGATCAGTGACCCAGATGGAGGATCAACTGCCTCCACACTGTTTTCTCCCAATCCTCTAATGGGGGAAGTCTTTCTGTATATATGTTTCTCTTATTGGTTGATGAATAAAACACTGTCTGGTCAATGAGGCAGGAAGACAGGTAGCAACAGGACGAGGAAAATTCTGGAAAAGGTAGACAGAGTAAGCCTGCCACAGAGTAGCCATGTAGGCTGCCAAAGGAATAACAGGTCTGGACCCTTTTCCAGTAAGACAAGACCATATGGAAATAGTTAGAGTAATAGAAATGGGTTAATAATTAAAACAGAGCTAGCCAATAAGAAGCCCTAGTCATTGACCAACAATTTGATAATTAATATAAGTCTTTGTGTGTGCATTTTGGGTTGGAAGAGGCAGCGGGACTTGGCAGGACAAGAAAACTCTGCTACAATCCCCTTTCAGGAATAGACAAAGACATCACTAGAGAAACCACAATCAAGGAGGCCACAGGCAGTCTTTCTGCTATGTTCACATTGTAGGGGGAGGCAGTAAGAGGCTGTGCTGAAGTGAGGCATGGTGGTTCACGAACACCTCTCACCCAACGCTGAGGAGGCAGAAGCAGGATGGCTGTCACAAGCTCCAAGCTGGCCTGGGCCACAGAGTGAAAGCTGTGTCAAAAAAAAACTAAAGAGAGAAAAAGAAACAAAGGGAAGAGAGGGCTGGGCCAAGACCTGAACCAGTGACAAGCCATTTGGTTGGGCCAAGACCTGAACCAGTGACAAGCCATTTGGTTTCTCCTGCTTAGCCCAATGGACATGCCCTACAAAGAGATCATGAAGAGAGTCGAGAGAAGTGGGAGATCAGAGAAATGAAGAGAGATATGAGGACAGCACGCAGAAATTGTTTTTCTCCTGCTCAAGTGAAGACGGATAGTCAAGACAGAAGGGACTACACCCCTCCCTGCCTGCCTTTCCACTTCTTCTGCAGTTCAGCTACCCACACCCCCAACCCCCAACCTCCCCACCACTCCTCTCACCATAGCTGGTCTTTGACTTTCTGGTTGTGGACCCCACACCATGGTACTGGTCTGCCATTGTAGCTTGAGTCCCTGCAGATAACGAAACAGCCATAGCACATGGTACATATAGGTATACGTGTACATATACATGAAAACAAAGCACTTAACACACATAAAATAAAAATATTTTAAGGAAGAACTAGAATTGAATTTTACTTTTCTTGCTTGAATTCCCTGGTGGCTGTTGTTTCTCTGTAGAAGATGGTTTGGACTATTGGGATGATCCAGTAGTCCCTGCATGGTCATCCCTCTCTGAAGACACTGACCTCCCCTGCGTTCCCAGGTCCTTTCATCTCCTAGGCTTTTTTTGGAACTCCCTCTTCCTGGGTCCACTGCTGCAGCCCACTACTTCCTGAGAGGACCTATCTAACCCTTCCTGCAGCAGCACCAAACAGAGAAGCCAGCTTTCAAGGCCACTTGTGCTTGCTGTAACTGCCCAGCTGCATTTTTTTTCATCAAGGAAATGGTTGCAACATGAAGTTATTCTCTAGCATTTACTGTATCCTCTTAGACTTGATGACAGTAAACTTCCTGGGGACAGGCACAGTTCCGGACAAAAGCTGGGTCTCAGTTTACTAGCTGAGCAAATTGACTTCCTAAGTTCTTTACCTCCCTGTGTATACAGCAGTCCCTGCCCTGTTAACCAATACACAGACACGGAAAAGATGGTTGCTTCATTTTGAATGCTTCCTCTACCTACTACCATGAACGTTTTTGAGTACTCTGGACAGGCTGGAACGTTCCTGGTTAAGAACAGAGTCCCCACACAGAGATCCATCAATTATAAGTGGGAAGAAGAAAGCCAGATGCCTCTTTTGACAGAGGCTCATTTCTTTATGTCCGAAGGCTAGGTGGGTAGAAGACAAGCTTCTCATAAATTAGAAAGGGAAACCACAAACTTTCATATAGCATCGGCTCTTAACAGAGTTGATATTGACGATTAGCAGGAGACTCAGAGGCAGCAATGGAACATTTCTCAAGACTTGGGGGCAGGGGTGTCTTTAGACCCAACTCATATATAAAACTAGCACTGTGCTTCTGTAGGTGCTGATTTCGCTGACTAAGTCCTCCTCCCTCAGCCTAAGAACAACATCCACTCCTGTAGTCACAATGAGTGTAACTTAGACCTCCCCACATAGACTGCCCTGCAGGGAGCTCAGCTCTTCCATGAAACCAGGAAAGAATGGTTCCCCAAAAGGCAGGTTTACTAGGGAGCAGTTTGAAGGAAAAACAATAACAGCAGGTGAGGACCCTGACCTGTTTGCCAGCTTGGAGGAAGGCACATGCCAAGCTGTGCCTGCTAGCGACCCCTCAACCTTACCTTCTCCCCTCCTGCTCCCACCAATCTAATTCATTCACTCTCTTCCTGGAAGAGTCAAGTTACACTTGTTTTGACTAGTGAAGGAACACTTTCTCCAAAAAGAAAGGATCTTTGCAGCAATGGACCCTGAAGCATACATGAATTTGTAGGGTTCGCCTTCAATAAGGATTACAGCCTAAAATTAGCAGACAGGAAACAGGAACCAATAAGTACAAAGAGCAGATATGCCTGGGGGTTTACCAGACACAGCCAACAGAGCAGCCCCCTCCTCACAAAATTCAACACTCCCACACTCTACTTCTATTCTTACCTGAAAATCTGGGTCCTGTGGTCTTCTCTGGTTAACAATGCTAAAACCAGAAGAGAGAGTAGCAGAGAGGAAGCTTGGGGGAGGAACTGTGGAAACAGGAGCATACAAAGACCCACCCATCTTCCTAGCTAGCTGCACTGCAGAACTTTCTATAGTCCTGCTGTTCTGTGCCATCTAATATGGAACCCATGGGGCCCTGGTAGCTACTAGGTACTCAGGATGTGATAAATTAAATGAGAAATAAAGTATTTCATGGTTTTAGTCACTTTTCTCATCACTGAGACTTTTGTTGACTACAATATGATCCATCCTAATAAATAATGGGCAGTCTGCTCTTGTTTCTGTAAATATGAATGACAATGACTTGGTTGGAGTTATATTGACTCTCCTGTGTGCTTACTTCTTTAAGAAATGGCAGGGGGGGACTCCTCGTCAGTAGCATGCAGTAGAATCTACTTTTAATTGGGATATTCAGATAATTTATACTTCAGATAATTAATGATGTGGTTGGATTTCAATGGGGGAATCTATATCATACCTCCTTCCCTCAAAGCCCAGGTATCTCTACAGAAAAGGGGATGGAAACATTGGAGGCAGTGGGTATCCACAGTGGAACAATACTTGCTGGATATGCCAAGGCCATTTCACTGGGGGGGGGAGAGAGGAGACATGAAGTTGGGAGGGAAAAGAGAAAGCTAGAGAAGGAATTAGAAGGGGGGGGAATGAGGGTGGCATTGATCAAAATACATTATAGGAATGTATAAATGTCTCTAACGATGAAAAAATTATTATTCTGCTACCAGTTTTCTCTTTGTCCAATCTGTTCTTTCCCTTTCTCTCTTATTCTGTCTAGTTTGTGACTGATTCCTGAGGGATTTCTTTTTATTTCTTCTTGTTGATTTATTCAAGACCACCCTTTTTTGGTGGGTGTTTTAGGGTCCATGCATACCTCTTCAACTTAGAACAGTCTCCTTTCAAATTCTGCTCAATCGCCCCACATATACAGCGGAAGAACCTCACATCTCCACACTATTGTTATCGTGTAATTGACATCTGCCTGTTTTATAAACCCAAGAGACCACCAGTTCTGGGAAATTACATGGGCAGATGTCAACAGGAAAAGCTTGGGTTTTGTATCCCTTGCACAAAGAACAAGAGTGATGTGTGGGGGGAAGCTAGTGAGTCAGATTAACAAACATTGCCAACTCCAGGAAAGTCTATTTATTCAGTGATCTTGCCCCCCGCCCCGCCCCCAGGTTCACCCATGAATTCTGGTAATGAGGCTCAGAATCACCAAGCAACCAGGTGGTGCTGAGACAGCCCCTGACAAAATCAATTCTTCACCACAGGCCTTCTAAACGTTCCTCTCACCTTTCCATGTGCTGCACTGTGCCCTGAAGGGTCCCACGAATGTGTTGCCTTCTGCAGTTGGGACACTGGGAGCAGGAATGTCCAGATACGAAACTGACATTTTTCTTCTCTGGATTCCCTTCTCATACGTACACAAGTCTTCGGTTTACCTCATTTGAAGGTTTGCAGCAAAGGGGCCAGAGGGTGATTTTTTTCATTGCAGTTTTTTTTGAGAATTTGTAGACTCAGTAGTTGTTGTCAGCCCATTTCCCAGAACCCCTCTTATGAGAGTAAGACAGTTGATGCTAAATATGTCTGTGCCCTAAAACGCATCCTCCCTTCACCAGCCACAAACATTTCCTGTCCCCTCTCCTTCTCCTTTTGTCTTACTCATCACATGAGTTGTGGTCATTTTATAGAGTAGAAAGGTTAAGATGGAGGGACCATGTATCCTGCCATTAACGTGGGATGGTACAAAAACAGGCTGTGGGGAGGAGGTTGAGAAAACATGTCAGGGAGATCTCGATGTACTAGATCTCCCTGAGCATCACTTTGGACTGATGATATTGGCCAAGAAGAACTTTTCTCTGCCTTCCACCTGGAGGAAGGACCCAGTTATGGCCACTCACAGTTCAGTCCTGAGTGGGTGTGGTGTATGTACAGTGTTTCTTCCTAGAATCATTGTTACAGAGTTTTAAAAGCTCAAAACTTCTATTGAAACACTTAACAAACTCATTAAAAACATTGTCAAAATTGCCCTGGGGTGATGGACCAAGTACTTAAAATCACTGGCTGCTCTTTCTCAGGACCCAGGATGGATTGCCAGCAACCACGTGGTGGCTCACAACCATCTCTAACTCCAGTTCCAAGGCATCTGTGGGTTCCAAGCACACAGATGCATGTAGGCAAACACCCATCCATATAAAAAAATTTAAAATGGTCTGCATGAAGCTCACAGCTGGGAAAGACCATTGCTGCCATCACTTCCCTTGCAGACTCTGGAAATAGCGGGAGTGGGGGAGCATAGTCTCCAGCTGTGTTCCCGCTGCTGAACTCACCAGCCTCTAATGTACAACCCACAAATTCGTGAGAGATAAAGCAAAACAAAATGTCATAAATTTGAGGGGAAAAGTTTTGTAGGGAAGAAGAGGGAGTAGGAAGAGTTGGAGGGGGAAAAGTGAAGGTGAAAGGAGTAACCAGAGTAACAAAGTCCATTAATAAAAACAAAAAATCAGAATATTTTTATTGTCTACGGCGATACCACCCTGAACGCGCCCGATCTCATCAGAATATTTTTATTATTAGTTATTTTGAACCAATGTTTATTTAAAATATCCTTGGGAATGCAGGAATGGCCATGGGGGGGGGAGTGTCTTTGTAACTACGTGAAAGTATTTTGTGCATTTTGTTCTGCTGTGTTCCATTTCCATTTAACAACACATCAGAAATTTTGAAGTCAAGATAACTTGGCTTATGGAAAGTCAATTACAGAACAGTACTGTGGTCTAGCACCTATTATACACCACAGGCAGCCGCCTCACATCCAACACACCCGCTAAAGGGATCGCAGGGCTATGGAGGGAATGAAAGTAAACTCATTAGGCATGATGAGATACTTGACCAAATACCTGGAAGACAGGAAAAGGTGAGAGTACACTGGACAGACCACTGACTTCCCACACAAACTCAGAACAGCTGGAGGTGGGTAGAGATGGAGGCTGAAACATAAAGGCTGTTCAGAAATGTCAGCTAGGAAGAACTAGGTTACTACAGGATGAAGTTGGGGTTAGTAGAAACAGTGGGCCCTATAGTCTCCTCCCTCCCCCTAATTCAGAGAACTGCACGTCATCTTCTTCCAGGAAGATGGTGGGAAGTCTTTTTTCCCCCTGAAGATTAGAATATTTCACAAAAGACTTGTACATCCCGATACTCAGGGTTCATTCCACATAGTCATCTGAGTCTGCTCTGTCACCTGTAGTGAAACTCTGAGGCTGTGTGTGTGTGTGTCTGTGCATTCAGGAAGCAGTAATGGCAATCATGAGCTCACAGCACCTCTAGGCCTGGATAGAGGAGGTACTACTCATGGGAACCTACTCCACCCTGCTGAACTAGTAACTGCTGATGAATTCTGGGAGAGGAAGAGTCATTGTCATTCGCTGTGTTCTTCCTGGTGGCCCACAATTCTCTAGCAAATTGCTCTAAACCTGTTGTCACACACATGAACATAGTTAAACTCAGTGGATCACAAAGCAAAGAGCATACCAAAACAAAAAGGCATGAATATAATGAGAACACATTATATGATGTTTGTATGAGATTGTCAAAGAACAAATGTCAATAATAAAAGAATGACATCTACATCACAATCCCAACTTGTCCCAAAGTTTCAAAAGCATCTCACTTATCTTTTTGAAAATGTATTCAAATATACTCTCTTCCGCCACTTCCTTCAGATTTCTCATTTTTTCGTCATAATTTCTCTTTGCAGAATCAATGAGCATCTTCTTTTCTTTCTCTGATTTATTAGCATGTATATTTTCTATGCTTTTGATTTCAACACTGAGTTGTTGAGTATAAGTTTCCTCCAGATCCCTTTGACACTGTTTCAGTCTTCTATCTACGTCCTCATATATCTTTTCAGAAAAGTAAGACCCTCCATTTCTGTCCACCATTTTTTCTATCAGTTCTACCAACTGCTGTACTTGCTCCTCTTGCTCAGCTTTTCCTGCTTTGTTATTAAAGGCAAGGTAGCGTTTCCCACACTGCAAGATAGTATTATGTAACTTGCAATCTGTTTGGCCTAGAAAGTCATCAAGGCTCTGGTCCTCAAGGTCCTCTTTTCGAGTGAACAAGACGATCATGTACCTCATTGCTGCCTCCCCAAAAAGGCCCTTGATCAGATCAACAGTTTTCTGCTCTTCGTCCGTGAAGCGGTTCAGCTGCATAACAAGGATGATGGCGTGAGGCCCAGGGCAGGAGTAGAGGACACAGCGGCTGATTTCTGAACATGTGGTTTTCGTGGTCTCCTTGGTGTCAAAGAGCCCAGGAGTGTCGACTACAATAAGGTTTCTCCCTTTCCATTCCCGGGATGCTTTCTGGCAGGTCTTGGTAACAGCATGGGCAGAAATCTTAGACTCAAATTGGTGTCTCCCAAGGATGGTGTTTGCTGTGGCACTCTTTCCGTGTCCAGTTTTCCCTACCAAAATGATCCTCACCTCAGTGTTTTCAAGGGCAGCCATGCTGAGGCAAGTCGACTCTCAAGATCAGGAATGCTCAGACCTTAAGGAAGAGAGAGAGATAGAAATTGCCTATTAGATAAATGGGAACTGCTCCAATCCTTTCTTTTCCCCTTCCTTCTCTAAAATTTTCCGATGTTCTGTTATCTTTATGTATCCCCATGGAGACTGAAAGATGAAACACTACAGTGGAAGAAATAAAGAAATTAAACAGTTCCTCCACAGAAGAATGCCACGCCATGTGATTCTGCAGGGAAATCCCAATGACAAGAGCATGTCACTGTGTTCCTATAGAAGTCAGAGGATGTCTTTGTGAGGTCGGTTCTCTCTTTCCACCTTTGTGTGGGTTCTGGGCATTGATCAACAGTTGCCAGGTTTGCCCAGGAAGCGCCTTTATATGCTGAGCAGACCACCCGCCCCTCAGCATACTTTTAATCCCTGATAATCTGGATGCCATTTAAACTGTTCGTGATAACTTAGATATTTCTAGTCCTGCTAACAGCCTACATGCCAATATAGGAACAAGTGCCATGCCCAATGTAAGGTCTGAGGTGAGCGCACCCAAGTCTCTGCTCTGCCAAGGACCTGAAAGCCCAGACAAGAGCATGTACTGGAATGACTATAATGTCCAACAACTAGGAGAAACATTCTAAGTCTGAAAACACAAAGAAACAGTAAGAAAGTGGAAACAGCTCACGCCCCTGATTTTACCAATACACAGTTTAATGCGTGTCATTGAAGACACAAATATGTTCACCTACATGTTAATAAAAAAGAAACACACACAAAGGAAAGAAAACAAAAGCAAAACAAACAACAACAACAAAATCGGACAGTTAAAACAATCCCAAACAAGAAAGAACTGCTGGAGGGATCACCGCTTCAGATTTCAAGGTGGTGATACAGATGCTCCAGAAATAGAGTAATAAAGGAAACAGGGGGGCAGGGAGCAAAACAGGGGAGCTGAGCCACAGGCGACTGCAGTGTCGTCCTATGTTGTGCCCTCAGGGCGGCTAAACCGGTTTCGATAGACCCCTCCACTCTACCCCACAGTCACACAGCTGCACATACACATCTGTCTGTTGTACAGTGGGGAGGAGTCAGCACACTGAATTCTAACCCTTCTCTGCCCAGGATGACCTGGGTAACTAAGAGAGAGTCGTCAGACTTTCTGAGGAAAGAAAATGACTCAGATGATCTGAGTTGTCTCCCAGCTTGGAGACACAGAACTTTCTGTGAAGAGCACCAGGCTACACCGTGTGTGTGTGTGTGTGTGTGTGTGTGTGTGTGTGTGTGTGTGTGTGTGTGTGTACACTGTAGCATGCTAATTCATGTCCTTATACCCCTTACCCTCCACCACTCCTACCACCATCGCCCTCCCTGTGGAGCTGCAGGCAGGATACCTCTAACCCCACAGATTTCCCATCCTCCTCCTGACTCTCACAGCTCCCTTCCTCTAGGCTTCTTCCCAGAGAGGGACTCACCTTCTTCTTCAGGAAGTGATGAGGGACCTCTTTGAGGCAGTGCTTCTGCTCAACTATGAAGCAAAACCGTGCATTCCAATCCAATCAGTCAGGAAGTTCTATGGGTGGAGCCAATGAAGAGACTGTTTGCCTTTAAAGAAACGGAAATGTCCTCTAACTTAGTGTGTGCTTCAGCTTTGTCTGTGTGTCTGCTATAAAGCCCCAAATTTCAAAATCCTTTTTAAAAAATTGCTTTGGGTTGGTTTTTGTTTTTTAGATACAGTTTAGGTAGCCCAAGCTAGTCTTGAACTCACTAACGTACTGAGGATGACCTTGATTTCAAAGATGAGAACCTTGTAGTTACCAGGTCCTTGAGGCTGAGTACCTCACTGTTGGAGCAGTCTCACAATAGCTATCTCTCACTTGGGGGGAGGGTACAGCAACTATTAGGTACTCAAGGCACAAGGCAGGGTGTCTCAGTGGTTCCAATCTGGTGTCAGGGCACCAAATCTCCCTGAAGAGCCACTGGTCCGTAGCCCACAGTGCAAACTTGAAAATGCTGGTTCTGATACGAGTGAAGGAATCAGCAGCAGCAAGACAAATCAATTGCATCAGGAGGAGGCCTAGGAAGCAAAGGGGCGTGGTTTTCCTTTGCCACACCCATTCTACCCTGGCTGCCACCAGAAGCTGTTGCCCATAGCTCACAATTGGCAAGGCAGTCAGGACAGTTTTTCATGTGTGGCTCCCTATTCTGGTAGCTCTAATTCCAGGCAAGTGGACATGAAAACCAATCACAATAATGTGCCACACCAGGCTTCAAACCCATGTTTTGGTTCATGTCCAGGGTAATACTGATTATACAGAGAGGCCTAGCTCTTCAACTATTTTCCATATGTTCTGTCTACTAATGTTAAACTTTCAGACCTTACACAAAAGTTTCTATCCATTTTTAATTAATTTTTGTGTGAGGTGAGAGATATGGACCTTGTCTCTATCCTCTGCATGTGATACTATTTCCCCAGCATCATTTGCTAAAGAGGCTGCCTGTTCTCCAACACATGTCTCTAGCACCTTTGTTGAAAATCAGATGGCTATAACTGCATGGGTTTATTTCTTTGTCCTATGTTCAAGAGAACACAGAAGAATGTTAACCTATGGTTCTGAGTTTGTGCCAGAACCATATATAAATAATTCCTAAGTCCAATAATAAGAAAACCCAGTAAAAACAGGACAGAGACCTTGGCACAACCTCACACAGGATTATTCAGATGGCAACTGTTATGTATGGGAAGACACCATCACATGTCCTCATGGAAACATGAAATATCAAGACACCACTATCCATACACCTGCCAGAAGAGTCAAACTTCAGGACACTGATGGTATCAAATGTTGGATCAGTGGGAACCTTCATTGGTTACTGATAGGAATGCAGAGGGGCAAGCCACTTCAGAAGACAGGCTGCCCGCATCTTACAAAATTAAATACATTCTTCCGTATGATCCTGAAATTGCATAACTTGACATTTACACAAAAGAATTAAAAATGATAATCTTATAAAACCCCACATGTGAAGGTCTGTTTCAGCTTTATAAAAGCAACTAAGATACCCTCCAGCAGGTGAGTGAATGAGCAAGTTGAGTACATCCAAACAATGGGACATTATCCAAACATAAAGAATAAGCAAGAAGCAATCATGAAAGTATCTTCAAGAAGCTTAGAAGTGTATCACTAAGCAAAGCTTAGTAGTAAAAATATTTCCTGATGAACACCATGGGAAAACTGAAATTATAGAGATAGTAGAATTACCAATAGTTGCCAGCAATTGGAGAGATGGCACACATGAGCTTTGCTCAGGGACCTTTAGGGCAGTAAAATATTCTGTGTGATGATGTGTTAGAGAATATATGTCATTATGCGTTGTCCAAGCCTGTAGAATGTACAACACCAAGCGTGAAATGAATGTCAGCTGTAGACATTGTCTAATACTGCTGTACAGGCTGAGTGATAACAAATGCACCACTCTGGTGGGCAGACTGATGACAGGGAAGGTTGTGACATCGTGGAAGATACCTGTGTGTCTTCCTCTCAATTTTACTAAGAAATTAAAGCTTCTCTTTTAAAAGAACAAGACAAAACATGGGCATTATAAATGGCTCAGTGTTTACGAGCACTTGCTGCTCTTACAGGGCGCCTAGATTCAGTTCCCAGCACCCACATCAAATGCCACACAATCACCTGGAACCCTCTTCTGACTTCTGCAGGGTCTTGCATACAGGCATGCATGCATTCACATGAATAAAAAAATAAATAAACAAAATGTTTTTAAAATGAAAATGAAAATAAAAAAACAACAATATCAACAAAATCAGAGCCTGATGGTGTGGGCCTATAATTTCAACTACTTGGGAGGCTAAAGCAGGAGAATTCACAGGCTCATCCAGCTTAAAGGATAGAGTGAGTTCAAGGTCAGCCTGGTCAACTTAGTGATTGAGACCCTGTCTCAAAATATAAATATTAAAAGAGCTGAAGATTAGCTCAGTGGTAGAGTGCTTGCTTACCATGCCCAAAGCCCTGGGTTCAGTGTCTAGTGAGGAAAATAACAATTGGAGGCTATAAGAATAACAAAGAGAGTTTAGAATCATCTCCAAAGAAAATGGCTCCACATAGGCCTGAATCAGCAAGGGACACAGATGCGCCCCCACCCCAGGACTGTTGGGTCTGAGGAGGCTACAATCACCCAGTAGTCTGCCTGGTGCCAGAGGCCATCATACTAAGTACTGCCTCGAGATCAAGCAGGAGTGAAATCTTGAGGCATGCCCAGGTCTGTCCTGGGCATTTTAGATTCCCAGGAATATGTCAAACTTCTCAAAGTCTCCATGGAGAACCCTTTATAGCTTTTCCTCTTAAATGTTCACATATTTGTTATTTGCTGCCCCATTCATCCATGGTATTAAGCAATCATTCTCAAAAATAATTCATAGGAAAAGACTGTTGCTGCCAGGAAAGCTGTTAGACCAAAGACAAGCCTTTCTGTCGGGGTCTTCCAGGGACCTCAAGACTTCCAGGAATCCAAGGTCAGTTCTCTAAGAATGGAATTCTGAGGGAACTCCAGCTTTATTTGGCTGCCCTTCACAGGAAGCCAGGCGATGTTTTTCATGGTGATTACAGATAATGGAGTATGTCTGATTTTTTTTTGGTTTGGTTTGGTTTTTAAGGCTACAGACGATTTTTGAATGTAGAAAGTGAAGTAAATTAACCACAAAACTTAATGTCCTTACTGTGTTTCTTCAGTTGCCATTTTTACACCCAGGGCTGCTATAAGTCAATGCATAATATACAAGGTTCTTGGGTTTTGTTGTTTACTTTTGCAGTAATGATTGATTTTTGGAGCGCTTTACTCTGCCATACACACAGACATCACTTCACATTACGCTGGAGACTTATAGACAGATTCTGGGTTCAGTGAAGGGTGGGTAAAGGGAAGCAAGAATTCAGGCCTAAGGAACAACAGCTATGATCAAGACAAAAGAGTTATGATGACCATAACTTATATAAAGAGAAGACAAGAGGGAAGAGAGACACTGGAGAGCTATAAAGCTGTTGCTGTTGTTGTTGCTAGTGACTATAAGTATCATTGAAATTTAACAGATACAGACACCATTCCCAAAGTCGAAGAGAAAATGTAGCCAGTGACTAGGAGCATCACAAGGAACTCGCGGTCTGATAGGAGCAGAAACTGTCAAAAGAAATACTAAAGGTATGTGGTGGATGCCCCAGCATCTAGTAAACCCTTTGGTGTTAACTTCCTGAAGATACAGTGGCCAATAGGAATGAAAGTGGTGAAATTCTGAGGACATGGTGGCCAACGGAGATGAGAAGGTTGACAACCTGGAGACACAGTGACTGATAGGGTTGAGGAACAGGCTTGCTAATCAGCAGGGGGGAATGTGCAGTAGCTTCAAATGAGTCAGATAAATGTAAATGAGTCTCGAACTCTGTGCACCAGAAGACAGATTTTCAGATACTCACGCAGTTCACTCTCCAGGCAACGTCAGTAATGTGTCCAAGGAACAACAAGATCTTGCTGGGGTCCTGGCCACGATATCTAGTGGAATGAAGGCTGGGAAATATCATAGATATTGTGAGCATTGCCTCTTGCTAAATTTTAGGGTATTGTTGACTTAAGAAAAACAAAATCTACATTTGATGCCTGAGACTGTTTGGGGTGTGACATTTTTGCTCAAACATGATTCTGTTCAGTCTAACACAAGCTGCCAACACCATCTGTGAAGACAGTATAGTTGAAAAATAATAAACAGGAACTCTATGTGGCCAGGGGGAGAAATGTGTTGTGCTGATAGTAGCAAGATTTTTACATCCTTCTGAAGGAAAGGATGTAATTATATGACTCCACTCAAGATAAATGATAAATAGGTGTTTATTGGGAACAATTGCACAGAAAAAATACAAAGAACCACTGGAGTGTTTCCCTGATCTTCCTACTGGATCCGCTGACCCACCAGAAAGAACACACAAAACCTCTCTTTCTGCTTCCATCCACCTGAAACCACACCCAAAGGGGTGCAGCCACTGTTACAGGTTCACAGAGCAGATGCCTACAATTCCCCTTTTAGTCTAAAGAAGAAGTTTTTAAGCCTGATACAAAAACTATATACAGTGATAACAAAGGTCAAGTATACTCCAGGAAAAGGAAAGGTAAACATACACTAATTAAAGCCTACTATCAGCAAGAGCAACATTGAGCAATAGATATATATACTACATGTCCAGTATACATGTCCAGTATCAGGGTAAAGGCATGACAGAGATTACTCTGATAGCAGTCCTAATCTAGAAAGTCTAAATCTCGTCTATCTAAGATAAGAGAGGATGTTACTGTGATTGTCTAGTCTTCAACATCATCAAAGACCTGAGAAGGAAAATAACAATACTAGGATAAGCTGGACGTACAAGTGTGCGACTTCCAAAGGTGCGAGTGAAGACAGCTGTGGGACCAAGTTGGCAGGAAAAAGTGCTCATTACAAAATAGAGGCAGCAACGTGAGGCATGGATGTCCATGTAGAACCTGACAAAAGCTTAAAAGGGGATTTTAGAAACAAAAGAACAAAGCGAAGCACAGTTTCTTGGTAAATCATTTTCTTGGGTGGGCTCTGTTTTCACCAGAGACAAGCAGAGACTCACGCGGCTCCTTTAAGGGAGGTTTTCAGCAAAGCGGCAAAAAAAAAAAAAAAACCCTCAGGGCTCTTTTAAGAGGCCCTGCTACGAAACAAAAAAATGATATGTACAAGAAGCTGGTGGCAGCAATGGCTAGCATGCTGCATGGCAGATTTGGCTTTCACTCATAAAGACACAAGAGTCAATGCAGTGAGCACAGCTCTCAATGTTGGTGGTAAGCTTAAGTGGCCATGCTGGAAAGCCAGCGGCTAAAACAGTCGGCTTTAATTTTAGAAATGTTGTTTAGCAGATAAAAGACATGTGGCCAAAAAAGATAGAGATATACAGTAAAGATAGATTCAGATAAAGAAAAACCTCCAAAGGATTTACAATGTGTTCAAAATATACGCAGGCTTGGGAGAGACACATGGGGAAGGGCCTAGGTCCTGCCCAGGATGAAATGACAAACTTTAGAGATCCCCCAAGGAGGGTCTCACCCTCCCTGGGGAATGATGTGGGGATTGGGTGGGGGGCTGGGGGCTAGTGAGGGGACAAGGGAGGAGGGGTGGAGAGGGAGCTGGGACTGACATGTGAAATATTCATGCTTCTAATATAAATAAAAACATATTGAGAAAAAAATAGAGTAGCCTGTTGTAGAGGTACACGACAGTAGGATTTGCGGAGAGAGGCAGAGGCAAGCAGATTTCTGCGATTTCAAGACCAGCCTGGTGTACAGAGTGAATTCCACGACAGGCGAAAGTACACAGTGAAGATGGAAATAATGCTGTCTGAAAAAGAGGTCTAATATATTTTATTAAGTATACTTACAAGATAAACAGGGATAGAAGCTCTGGGAACATGGCCCTCTCCCTAGAGAGAGAGTACTTTTTTTTCACTTCCTTTTATCCTCACCTGTGCTAAGTTTTCTTATCCCCACCCTTATGGGTGGATAGCTTTGTGGAGTTCACCCCTTCAACACAGAAAAACCCTGTCTTAAGAAAATAAAAAATAAAATAGAAGTTAAAAAATAGAGTAATAAGAAAGTCATGTGAAGACAGAAAATACACAGTCTGGATACTGTATGCTATTGTGTTGTCTTTGAATTGTTCAAATGAAGGAGCACCAGCTGCTAAAATACACTTGATTATAAATGCTGCTAAATTAATCCAACTTATATATTTTGAAAATGCTTTGACTTCAAAATTTATGTCTAAGGACAAGTTACTTTGGAAAAAAGGTTTTGTTTTTGTTTCCACAAAGATAAAAGGCTGTGGATTCCTTCCAGACTAATATGGTTTGATCAAGCAAGACCCCCTGAAACAGTGGCCCAGGAGATCCAACATCCAAGACAGCTAGGACGATGCATCCACACAGACTACTACAACCAGGATTTGGCCCAGGTTTCTGTTTTCTCATGATCCCCATGACAGCATCCCAAACAGCAGGAAGTAGTTTGGAGAGAACTACACCCAAAATCACACAAAAAAATGTTTATAAATGTTTGTTTTCATTTAAATTGGGTTGGTTGTAAATGGTTAAGGATCACAACCAATCTCTTTTTAAAGGAAAAAAAAGGGATGTGATATAGAAATGAATATTTTGTATTGGTATGAATTTTGGTTTATTGATACAAATTTAAGGTCAATTTTGTTATATGTATATTTCTCATCTTGTTTAGGTATTGGGTTTATACAGCTCATTTAAAAATGTAATGTATAATTAAGTACAGATTATAGATACTTACCTATAATAGTTAAAACTTATAGTTAGGTTAGTTAGATTTTCTAGATATATAGAGACATACTTGAGATGGATATTCTTCAAACCTTTCAAAGACTTATAGAATGTGGGATTTTAAATGGTTTAGGGTTTTTCATGACTATGAGACACAATTGATCCTGAAAACACCAATTACTTCAGAGAGGAAGATGGGCATTGAAGTAACTCATCATGGAGTTTGCCTTCAACATGGCAGAAATAGCCTTTTGGGCAAGAAACTGCTCTTGCCTGGACTGTTTGACTATATGCTGTATAGGACCCACAGGAAAGTGACTGCTGAATTTTCCAAAGATGGGGCAGTCTTTCAGGGTTCCTGATTCATGGAAGAGTCTGCCAGACATTCTGCAGGGCACAGAGAAAAATTACTGACAACTGCCAATACAGGTGGACAGTTTCAAATTTCCTGCTTCCCTGAGAAGTCTGCCAGAAACACTGGACCTCTAGGCTGAAGACCCATACTCCAACATTATAGAAGAACTTCTGGTGACTGTCCAAGTGTCGAGATGTCTGTCAGTTCTAGAGTTTATATATTATCCTTCTGAAGTCTTTGATGGAGTTGAAGGCAGATAGTTATGGTTATGGTTACATTGGTTATGGTAAAAGTTAAGTTACACATATAACTGTAGATTCACAAAGATACAATATATGATAGGATATCATAGATTGATGAAAATGGATTAATAATTAAGACAGAGCTAGCTAATAAGAAGCCCTAGTCATCATCCAACAGTGTTATAATTAATATAAGTCTCTGAGTGTTCATTTGGGGCTTAAGGGCTGCGGAACCTGCCGGGCCAGAAAACTCATGCTTACAAAATCTTTCTGTTGTTGAGCACATCTTGTGACTACTGGCATAACAGGGAGGGGGTTTCGGAGATTGGGTTGAGGTGAGAAGAGCCACCCTAACTGTAGGTCACAACATTTCAAAGTTTCAGACTGAATAAAAGGGGGAAAGTGATCTGAGCACTACTAGCCATCATTCTTTGCTTCTTAATCATGGTCAAGATGTGACTCACTGCCTCCTATTCCTCCCACAGTGTCTGCTCTGATAATAGTGAACTACTATTTATTCCCTCTCTTCTCCCTGTTCCTTCCTTATAGTTTTCATGTGTTTGATCACAGTAAAGGGTAGAGGAAATAATACAGTCCCATTGAATGGTGAGCTATGGATGCCACCTAGATACTGTGGCTTTCTTGTGTTCACAAACAAGAAGGCATGAAGAGAAACCTCATCCTGGTGGGGTCAACTGACCCTGGACAGTGAGAGGAAGTCATGTACCTGCCACAGAGGAATATATGTGACCCTCCATGCTGTGACCCACTGTCTCTGAAAATAGGCAAGGACAGCAGCCTCAGCCTAGGAGGACTATGGTCACCAGGGACTCATTCTAATCCTTCAGGAGTGGTGGTTTTGTCACACCAATAGGAAGTCCAAGATGAACAAAGGTGAAAGCAGAAGGTAAGAGGCTTTGAGAATAGGGAGGTGGGAGGAGGATGTCTGGAGCCAACTGTAGTCTGAGACAGGTGGAATGCACTGCCAACATCTGGAGTTCAGCCTAGAAATCTTCTCTTTTCCGTTTCTCCAAAAAGCAGAATCCTGAAAGAAAAGGTCCCTAGACACTTATGGGCAGTGAATATGCATGGAGCATTCCAAACCACAATGGCAGCCTTGAATGTTCTCCAAGAAGAAACCTGTTACACAGCTCCAAAGCATACAGCTAGCTGGCAGGCACAGAAGACAACACTTTCAGCACCCACCTCAGCTTTTGACATGAAGCCATGCTCTTCCCAGGAAGTTCCTAGTCCAAAACTGAGCCCAGCAGAGACACTAATATGTATCCAATGCAGAACTTGTGACTGACCAGACTGCACTGCAGAGCTCCATGCTGAGCTCCAGGCTTTGTCAGTTTTCCTGCCCCTCTATCCTCCCTTCAAGGGAACATGGCACCATAGCCCAAAGCTTTCCTGCTGCTGCTCCACTCATCCTTGTCTGTTTTTATACAGTCGTTCCCCTTGAAAACCTCTAGCTCTCCTGCCTCTTTCCGTGTGATTCTCAAAGCAACTGACTGCAGTATTGCTGCCCCACTCAGAAATGCACCTAAAGAAATACTGCAGTGTATGTTAGACCCTTCAATAAAACTATGCCACATTGCTTATCCTGTGCATCTGTCACCTGCCCAATCCGAGGGAGCTAGCAGGGATGTGTTACCGCCCTCAAGCAGAAGAGAATCTTGGAGAAGAGGTACAGATTTCATCCAGACCTGAATCCTCCTATTCCTGCTTATAAGGCTGTTCCCATTCATTTCTTTCCTTGGGGTAGTAAAACATGGCAGACGATCCCAGAGCTAGCAAAGGCCTGTCATGCAAGCACTTGTCACTCGTTTAAAAGACCCTCAGGAACCAGAGATATGAAAAGCTCACCTTGGTCAAAACTCACAGTGACCTCTTGATGAAATTAGATTCTTTCCCTAAACCAGAAAAAAAATGCCACCAGAAGGAAAGTGTGAAGTCACAATCCAATCCATCTTTATTATCTGATTCAACTCAATATATTTGCACATACATTTTCTAGAAGTTACCATGTTAAGACATAAGAGGCATTCGATTATTGTAGAATCACTCCTTGGCCTTTTGGCTAAGATAAAGTGTAATATCAAAAACATATCAATTCCCAGGCTTCATTACCCTACCAATAGGTTAATCTTGATGCTAACTAAACACATATGTTTTATGACTTATCCTCAAGGTACATATGAAAGTAGCTGATATTTAAAATGCCTGACCCTTAATACACTTTGGAGACAGTTTCATATTGTCCATTTCACATATTGTTCACCTCAAGAAACTTCCAGTATAGATCAGGCACAAAATACCATGGAATAAATTTCACATACCAGTGAAGATGTGCACAAAGACAGAATGGAGTCGTAATGTTGATATTCACATTCACTTTCTGCCATGTCCAAGAATGCTGGCCTTGTCTTCCTCTGTGTGTGTGTGTGTGTGTGTGTGTGTGTGTGTGTGTGTGTGTGTGTGTGTATGTGTGTATGTATGCATGCATGTTTGTATGGATCTGTCTGGATCCCCTGGTTCTCCAGGTAGTATCTTATTGGGGTTCAACACTGACCTGAGTCTTGATCCTGGTGTCAGTGCTGACTCTGTTCGACCTACACTTGTGGAATGGTTTTGACCCTTACTATCTTGATATTCAAAACATTTCCCTTATCCTCTACCTTATTCTCTTTGTCCCCTAATTCCCTACTGCTTGGCCTAACTTGACAATTTTTTCATCCAAACACCTACATCCAACATGGGTTAGTGTTAGGGTTAGGATTAGGGTTAGGGTTAGGGTTGACCTTCAAAGTCATGAACTTTCTTTGAGGGGAATGATCCCACCAGTCATGCCGTTCCCTCATCCCACCCACCTCTGTCTGATGACACTCCTATGTCCCAGACCTTTTAATTACTCACTTGAGCTCATTGTTTAAACATACTAGCAATTTGTTGGCCTATTGTTTTGAATGGATGGCCAAAATCCACCCATGAATGTGAATGCTCATCATAGGATTTTCTGAGACTATTGGCTATTTTCAACAGCTCTTTCACCTGGGCCTCCCGGTTTTGACCAGTTTCTTTGTTATTGAAGGCACAAACTCGCTCCTTGCACTTTTTAATTATGCTTTTAAGGGCTTTGTTCTTTGTGTTTCTAGTATAATCACCAAGGTCTCCATCCCCTAGATCTTCCTTCCGTGTAAACAGCACAATCATATATCTCATAATTTTTTCTTGAAACATGGCCTCCAGTTGCTCCACTGCTGCCTCATCTTCTTGGGTGAACCGCCCCAGCTGAAGCACCAGAACAAAAACCTTCATTCCTTCTTCACAGAGAGACAAGCAGTATTTGACCTCCTCCTTTAACCTGGAAGGATCCTTTTGAATACCAGGCATCTGGCTGAATGATGGAGTGTCCACAACCACAATATCCTGCCCATCCACTGTCATCCTGTCACTCTGGCTTCTACTGGTGATGGGCTGAGCTCCTAGTTGAGACAGGAAGGCAGGTCTCCCCAAGATCGTGTTTCCAGTTGCACTCTTTCCAGTACCACTCCTTCCTAGGAGTATTATGTTTATGAGTTCTGTTGCAGAGGAAAATGGGAAGGACTCATGACTGTGGGATGATGCAGAACTCATCTTTCCAAGTTACTCACAGCACTAGTTTCATCACTAAGCTCGCCAGGCACCACCCAACAGGTCTACCCCACACAGGAGACTGGCTTGCCCAGTTCATGTGGTCTATGAACTCAGCAGAGGGACTTGGACAATCCTCTGCCCATTGCTCATCATGAACATAGCATACCTCCTGTCCCTGAATCTAATCTGCTCCCTTTTCCAGGACCTCTCCTTAATCACTGTTACCTATGAGAAACAGTGGCCTTGTCTTTGCCTCTTATCTTTGCTGGATCTAGTCCACACATTTCATTTCTATCTTCTGTTCCTACTGTAAGTAAGTCTCCCTATTGTTAACTCCTAATAACAAAAATGTCTTTGAAGTATTTGAAAATCTAGTCTATACAATTAGATTTTCAGGGGAGAAAATCGCATATTCTATCAATATATTACCAGTTGTGTTAGTTATCTCATACTAAAATTCATTAAAAGCCTGATGAATTTTACTGTGTCTTTCAATAATGAGCCAAAGGAACTTCCTGTTTAAAATAAATGCTTAGTAATACTGTTCTTTGTGGTGTCAGTGATAGAAGAGAAGGTTCCATATAAATAGTACTTGTAGGTGCAAAGATCTGATTATATTTACTTTCAGGTGTTCCTGATGCCTTTATACTTTGCACTGTGTCCCTCCTCAATGGTCCTCCATCATGAATGAACCCCTTATTAAGTCACTAGTGTCTACTTAAAACCAAAGAGGGAGGAAAGCCCATCTTGGTCTCCCTTCCAGGACAACTAGTGAACCACTCATGCTAAACCCAGTCTCATAGCTATGCTTAAAGAGTGAAAATAAATCAATGATCTGAACCAACATATGCATGCGTGCATCACATACACACATGCAAGCACACACTCACACACGCATGCTCCAGCACTCATGTCATGTATTCCAATCCCTACTTCTGTATTTAGGAAAGACTCAGTTGCCAAGTCTCTCTGAAATCTGATCCAACCTTTCTGCCATTTGAAGCCCTGTTTCCATCAGGACCGTTCTCATCTCCTCCTAAGAGGCATGCTCCTCTATATGCACAGAGAGGCCAGAGGACAATCACTACTGTCATTCCTCAGCCACAGTCTACCCCTGGTTTTGGAGACAGAGTCTCTCACTAGCCTGGAACATGATTAGTAAGAAAGGCTGGCCAGCAAGTCTTAGAGATCCACCATGCCTGGCTTTTTTGACGTACGTTCTGGAACCAAACTCAGATTGTCATGTTAGTTAGGCAAGTAAATCATCTTCTAAACTCTACTTACACATTCTTATTGTTTCCCATCTCCAAATCAGGGAAGAACAAATAATCCAGAGAAAGTTCTGGAGTAAGAGAACAGAAAAGCAAACAAGTGACCGGAAGCAACAGCAGACTGAAACAGCAAGAGGACTGGGAGAGGTCTCCATGCTGGAGAGGTGGGATAGGGGTCAGGAGGAATTAAAAGCCAGCCATGGGAGTATACATTAAAAAACACACAACTTTAGGAAAATTTAAAGAAGAGACCAAAGTATGCACCTGCTAGTTGGTTTTGAGGCAGGGTCTTATTTAAACTACGTTGGCCTTGAACTCACTACTTAGCCAATAAACTTGAACTTCTGGTCCTCCTGCCTCTACTTCCCAAGTGTTCTGACTACAGGGAAATACCACCACGCCCAGCTGACGACCTGCTGGGGATCAGATACCCTAGTGCATGCTGGGTAAACACTGTACTGAGCTACATCCCCATCCTGGCCCTTTGCTCACCCTCTCTCCTTCCTTCAGACAGCTCTAGATCATGCCTTACATCCCAAGCGCTAGATACAAAGCCATTTCCTATGCTTAGCCTTACCTTTCTCCCTGAAGATACAAGGCTTGTTGCCGTTGCACTGCACCATGCTCTCAACTTGGCCCAGGAGTTTGTTCACCTGCCTCCACTCCTCCTCCACAGTCGCCCGATAGTTGAAAGCGGTATATCTTTTTTCAAATTTCAAGACGAGCTCCTGGAGATTGCTGTTTTTACTTATAAATTCATCTAGAGCCTGATCCTCTAAGTCTTCTTTCCTGGTAAAGAGAATAATCGTGAACTTGGTGAATTTCTCTCCAAAAATATTTTTGACAGGGTTGAACATATTGTCATCACTCTTCATCAAAGAATTCAGTGGTGTCACCAGCAGGAAGGCATGGGGGCCCAGAGAGACGTGCTCCTTGACTTCAGATGCATCAGGCTTCCACGATGAGATCTCTGGAGTATCAATGACCAGAACTTTCTTCCCATTCCAGATCCTGCTGCTGGATGAAAAGACCTTGGTGACCTGCTGCTCACTGTACTGAGTCTTAAAGGGCCGCTTCCCCAGAATGCTGTTCCCTGCTGCACTTTTCCCAACACCACGCTTCCCCATGAGGAGGACCCTCAGTTCTGGCATCTCTACATCCTGATGTGGTCCTGGAATCTGAGGCTGTCTCTTCTTTGGACCTGTGAGACAAGAAAAATAAAAACGGATCCAGTGTCTCCTCCTGCAGTTGGATACAGATGTGAACTGCTCTAGAAAGCCCCATCCCTCTGATTGAGCAGGCCTCTATTCTCAGGCAGAACCCAGACACCCAAGTAGAAATCATGGGAAGGAGGAAAGAACTAGAAGGAATACAGGAAGCCTAGGTTTTCCAGAAGAATGACTATGCTAAATTGAACTTCTACTAGAACTCATTCTTCAAAAGTAAGTATTATAGTATGAGGTCATGGACTACTGTGACAATCTGATTATAAAATGCCCCTTAGCCTAATACTCACATAATAAAATATGTGAGTGTATTTTTTAACATGTGTGAGACTCAAAAGCATGCTGAATGGAAAAAGCCAGACACAAAACTGACATCTGTATGACTCATTATCTGAAGTTCAGAACAGGACAAATTATCTATGTTTATAGGAGTCTGGGGAGTGGTTGTCTATGGGAGGAGGCTGTAAGAACTGTTGTTCTTCACAGAGGAGGAATATTATTTTTGCATTAACTTTCTAATTAACACACAAAATAAATGTTTGACCATTTGTGTTTATTGTTGCATTATTTACAATATAATAATTAGCCTGGACACCATCAACAATTAAAAAGAAAATGTGATATGGGGTCTAGTGAGACATCTCAGATGCTAAACAACTTGCCTTGAAAGAATGAGGGTTCTAGCTCAATGTCCAGAACCCATAAAAAAAAATTTAAAATCCAAGCATGGTGGTGCACTCTTGGAATCCCAGCACTATGGGAGCAGAGGCAGGAAGATCCCTAGAGCATAGGTAGTCTTGTCTACAGGGTGAGTTCCAGGCCAAGAGTGGATCTTGTCTCATTAAAAAAATGTGCATGGTGCTGGGCGGTGGTGGCGCACGCCTTTAATACTAGTACTCGGGAGGCAGAGGCAAGCAGATCTCTGTGAGTTTGAGGCCGGGCTGGACCGACAGCCTCCAAAACAATACAGAGAAACCCTGTCTCATAAAACCAAAAAAAAAAGTGCATGGTGCCTAAGGTGATACACAAAGTTGTCCTCTGTCCTCCACATTTACACAATACACAAACATGTTCACACTTACCTGCACGCACCCATGCACATTTACACAAATGAGAACACTTGCCCTCAAAAATAATGTATGTGTGAGTGTGTGTGCGTCTTATTTGACTATAAAGAAGAATAAAATCATTTCTGGAGAGAACTAGAAAACAAAAAAATGAGTCCTTGCTATGTCACTTTGGACAAAATTGTTCCTTTCTGTCTTTCAGAGCACATAGGGTAGAATATCCCAGGCTGTTGAAAAGGTGAGAGAAGATAACATCCCAGCAGTCTCTGGAAACTTGACAGGCATAGATCAGCTACAGAGGGTTCATGGTTGAGGTCAACCTGAGTCAGGCTTTGAATCCTGTTCCCTCACACCTTCTCCTTGCCCTCACACTCTACACATAGGACAGAGCTCCTCACCCTACTGGCCACACATGCTGCTTATTCAGGCTTCCATACAATTATGACTGCTTCTCAAGAGCACCCATAAATTGTCCCCACAATCACAAAAGCCAAGTGCCATGCACTTTCTTTTACTTAAAGAGTATTATAATCCTAGTCAGAATGGCTATCAGGAATACAAAATGACATCAAATGCTAGTGTGGTTATGGGGGAAATGGAACCCTTATATTCTGTTTGTGGGTAAAAAGTGGTACAAACACCTTGGAATTAAATCTGGAGGTTTCTAAAACAATAGAAATAAAGCCACCCTCTACCCCATTTATTCCGCTCCTGACATACACCCAACAGACTTTATACCACACTGCAGAGATCTCTGCTCATCTGTGGTTATTGCTGCTCCATTCACTATAGCCAAGAAATGGGAGAAACTTAGCTGTCCATCATAAGCTAGTGAATGGATAATGAAAACGTGCTACATATACGCAATGGAATATTATTCAACTACAAAGAAAACTGAAGTTTGCAGGTAAATAGATAAAACTGGGAGTAATGACACTGAGTGGTGTAACCCAGAGCCAGATAGACAAATGTTGTCTTTCGTATGTGGATCCAAGCTTGAACTTCGTAGTTCTGCTTGCTTGATATGGAGTTCCCGTGGAAGTAGGAACTGGGAAGGAGCATGAGCGCATGTTTTCTTGTAGAGGCCGGGGTGGTAGAACATAGGTAGAAGGAAAGTAGATAAGAGTACAGAAGTTGCCAGGCGTTTGCCTGCCAAAAATACTATAAATTGCACATACGCTATCCATACAATTTTATAGACTTTGAGGGCTGAAGTACATGTATGTTATTTCCTAGCCCACAATGTCAGCTTAGACGTTGCTGTTATTATTACTAAACTTCATAAATGACTTTTTTTTATTATTTTGTGGTACTTTACGAGGAAAGGGCCTTGTCTGTGGGATTGCGGTTTTTTACACAGGGCTGACTCAGAAATAAGCTACAGATGCATCTGTGACTTCATAAGTCTTGCGTGTCCTCCCTACAGGCATTCTGTTTACTATTGTGTACCGACCTGTGTTGCTACATAGAACAAACATCTAATGGAAGTCCATACAAAGACGCTACAAGCTGGTGCCATCCATGAGGAGTGTTTCCTGTTCCCCATCAGAAATACAAGACTCATGACCAAGAAGGAGAAACAGAGTCAGGAGAAAGCCGAGAACAGCAAGGCTGGCTCCATGCTTACAACAACAGAGGAGGCTAGGGACACTGCAGTGTCCAGCACTTGGACTGCTGCTACACCGAGTCACTCAAGTCAGGAGTCCTCTGGGGACAGGTGTGGGCACCCACACAGACTGGATCTCCATGTACCTTCTGTTTTCCACTTTTTACTTTGGCTGGACAATGCATTAAAAGAAAGTAGACATGAGACTTATTGTTTAGGTGACCAACTTACCACACAGATTGTCCCCTTCTTCATATGTAGCTCTATCCCCACAACCCTAGAAAATAAAGGGGGAAATAATATACACAAGGCCAAGGGAGATAGTCTTCCACACAATACAAATGGAGATACAATTAGAGACAGACTATCTGCTGATTAGGAAGAGGTCACAGTAAGATCACAGTCCTCGATTTCTTCTGTACACCTGCACGTCCAGCTTTCAAGCTCACTGACGCTGGTGAGCAGCTTCCCAGAGATGGAGCCATTTCCAGCACCCTTGCTGCTCCCCAGGATGGTGTGGAGCCTCTGACATGAAGTTAAGTTGAGAATGCCTCACCAGGTATGGAAAAATCAAACACATAATTAACATGAAAACAATACCTTTCAGTCTTGTGGGTGGGCTCCATTCTAACCTTATCTCTTAAAGCTCATGCCAGACAGAAGAACCTGCCTCTGCTTCCTTTCCCGTTCTCAGCCAACATCTTTAATGCATTTAATTCACTATCATCTATCTCTATATCTTTCGCTCTCATTGTTTCAATGTAAAGATGCTACGCGTGATATAAAAAGTAATAATCTTCCATATCCAACTTGTAAGAAAAGTGACAGCTGTCAGCATTTACATATGTTTCTATATTTCTCTGTGTTTATACAAACATGCACAAGTATCAATAGGAGAGACTCACAGGGCTTCCTGGTCAGCAATCTGCTTGGTATCATAAACTACACACCTGCACAAGTTAATATAGATGGAACCGCCTTTTAGTTGGTACAATCTATCCTCTACTATGAACATATGTAAATGATGTATCCATCCTCTCAGTGGTGGATCCTTGGATTATCTCTGCTTTTACTATTTCAAAAGACACTGTGGTAAGAATCTTTGTACGGGTTATCTTTATCTATTTTTTTTCCTTTGGATTGCTGAAATCCTCAATATTTTTAAAGGATTTATTTACCATTTTTATTTCATATGTGTGAGTAATTTGTCTACATGTATTTATGCAAACCACATGTGTACAATGACTGTAGAAGTCAGAAGAGGGTAACAGGTCGGAAACTGGAGCTACGGATAGATATAAAGTACCATATGGGTGCTAGAAACTGAACTCAGGTCTTTTGCAAGAGCAGCAAATGTTCTTAGCCAATGAGCCATCTCTCCAGTCCCCTGAAATCATTAATATGCATAATTCCTCTAACCCCCATATATCTCAATAACAGTAGCTAATAAATACTGAGCATTTATTTATTAACAACTTTTAAGCATCTCCATTTAATCTTCACAGAAAATTCCAGGTACATCTTTATGGCATTTGTGTTACACAAGATGTGACAGTGTGGTTAACAGAATGTGTTTTCTATCCTTGTGGGCTTTGTAGGGAGGTAGCGATTGTAAATATGTCTACAGGAACCCCTTGATCTGGTAGTAAATAGTATAAGGGGTATTCTGAGGGCAGAGAAGTGGCTTTAGAGGCCAGAGACTGGAAGAAGATTCAGAAGTCTTTGGAACAGCCAGAAAGAGAAGTTGTTTTATTGTTTTCTGGGAAGTCAGTAGAAAAACTATGTGGAGTCCAGTATGGTCAATAACATGAGGGGCCATGTGACTCAGAGTTTTGTTTCCCATTAGCTTTCCAGTTAAGTCCAAAGTCCCCAGGCTGACAGTCAAGAAGTTTGATGCCTACTATTACTCTAGAGCAGTGTTCTCAACCTTCCTAAAGTGGAGACCCTTTAATACAGTTCCTCATGTTGTGGTGACCCCCAACCATAACATTATTTTCATTGCTGCTTCACTGCTGTAATTTTGCTACTGTTATGAATTGTATTGTAAATCTCAATATGCAAACCCTGTGAAAGAGTCGCTCAACCCACAAATGTGACCCATATGTTGAAAACGCTATCTAGAGCATAAAAACACACCTTCCTAAACAAAACATGGCTGTAACACACAAGATGGCCCATTGATTTGGGGGTATCTCCCTCCCATCAGTCCTACCTGGACTCCACTGCCTTCCATTTTCAAAGGCACAAAATATGGTCCCGGGCTTCCGACCATCAACTGCTCAATCACATCAAGGAGCTGGGCCACCTGCTGTTCCCGCTGCTCCTTGTCTGCCTTGTTGTTGAAAGTGCAGTACCGATCTCCAACGTTTTCAAGCAATGCCTTGAGAGAGCTCTTGCTGTCAATGTAGTCCTTCAGCGAGTCTTCACCCAGTTCATCTTCCCGAGTGAAGACCACAATCATGTGACTGTAGGCTTTAGTGCCAAACTCATCCTGGATGCCCTTAATGGTCTCCCTGTCCTCCTCTGTATAGTGGCCAATGGGTGTGACCAACAGTAGCACATGGAGACCATCAGCCGAGAGCTTCAAACACTGCTGCAGGTTCAGCAGCCTGGCCTCTGCACAGGACTGTGAGGAGAATAGATCTGGGGTGTCAATGACAATGACCTGCTTCTCTCTCAGGGACACAGTTTCGCTCTGACACTGTTTGGTTACCGTGTGGTCACTGAACTTGGACTCGAACATGGCTTTACCCAGAATGGTGTTTCCTGTGGCACTTTTGCCTGCACCGCATTTCCCTAATAGGAGGAGCCGCAGTGTGGATGTTTCCTGGCTCTGTTTGAAAGTGTCCTTCTGGTCCTGGCTTGTGCTGTTGAGACAAGAGCAACACATCAGTGCTCCACCCACAAGCGGAGAGAGGACAGCAGGAAAGCTGTCCTCCCTGTCCCCCAAGAATTTAAACTACTGAGCTGGGAAGCAACTCTGCTATACAGTGTTGCTTCACCAGCGTGAAAGTCTCTGAGCTCAACGGGAGGACATGCTTGCAATCATTCGCCAGCTAACCTAGCCTACAGTAGGGATTGGACCAAGGGCTTCATGCTTTCTAGGCATGCACTCCACAAACCTCATCTCCAGCTCATGCGGTCCTGATAATAAAGTCTGATGTTTATTCTAAGGAACCGGTGTACTCTGAAAATGTTAAAGAGGAACACGAAATCCCCGTGAGCTCGGCTCAGAAGTGGTCATTGCTAAGCGTGTGCTTGCTTCGTGTAATCCCACAATAACTTGCCTCCTTAGAGGAATTCTCATTCATTAACAATAACATGTTTCTCAGACATGTCTAGAAAATGAAGAAAAGCATGAACAAAAAAATTAAAAGACAATATGTGAAGACTGTAGTGCTATTACTGCATATACTTGGCACCTGCGGTTTCATCACAACCACAGGTACATACATGCTCCTCAGGAGTTAATGTACTCTCTGATAACCAGGAGCTCCCTTCAGTTTGAGGCTAGGTTTCCCCTGGGAGTGGTTCCAAATATCAAAGCTAAAGGAGATGGTCGGGGGCTGGAGATTTAGCTCATTGGTTAAGAGCACTGCCTGCTCTTCCAGAGGATCTGGGTTCAATTCCCAGCACCCACATGGCGGCTTACAACTGTCTGTAACTCCAGTTCCAGGGGATCTGATATCTTCACATCAAAGAAAGTAAAAAAATAAATTATTTAAAAAAAAGATGTGATAGTCAAATATCTCAGTTGTGGAGGGAAGGCACCTCAGAGACACAGATGTGAGGTAACAGTGCACAGCGCTGCTAGTAAGGACTGCAGATGTCTGACTCCCCATGTGAGCTGCAGTCTAGGTTAAGCTCGGGGAAGCTGTTTGATGAGGCTACTGGAGTCTTTGAGGCTAAACCCTGAGCATGGCCAAGAGGCAGCACATGAATAAAGATTGCTCTAGAACCTTCGGGTTTAATGCTGTCTGTCCTGTTGGAGTCTATTATCCACTGTGGCCTATGTCTCCCTTTTGAGATAGGAAAATGCCCCCTTGTGCCTGCCTCACCACTGAACACTGGAGGCATTTGCTTTGATTCCCCAGGTACCAAGCCGGGGGAGAATCGACCTCAGGATAAGCCCTGCCTGGAGTTTCAGCCTGAGCTGCCTTAGCTAAGACTGATGGACTTTGAATTTTTGAGTTAAAGCTAGGACCACATGGTAAGACCTCGGGAGTTATTAGTTTGAAATGAGCATACTCCATATGTGACTCAAACACAAGCTTGAGGTCTAGGGGCAGTTTTATGATTTGAATACACCTGCCTAAGTTGGAAACCATTCAGCTACCATTCAGCTGTGGTGAGAGATGACCTAAGAAGAGAAGACCAGGGAATGAGGGCTCTGCACTCACAAGTAGATCAAAGTCATTCCATGGGGGTGTGTTGCAGATTGTGAGGAGAGTGACTCATTATAAAAGTGAGTTTGTATGGAGAGAGAGACTGCTCAGTGGTTAAGAGCACTTGCTGCTCTTGCAGAGGACCTGGGTTCCATTCCCAGCATCTACATGGTGGCTCACAATCATCTGCCACTCAGCTTTAGAGGACCTAATTCCCTCTTGTGACCTCTGCAGGCACTGCATTATGAGGTGCACAAACATGCATTCAGGCAGAACACTCATGCACATTTTTTTCAAAGGTAAATAAATCGTTTTAAGTGAATTTGTACCCCTCCCAGTGCCTCTTATGAACTCCCCCACCCTCTCATTTTCATCTTAGGATAACGCAATGTGAAGGCCTTTGCCAGACATGGACCCCTTGGATCTCCCAGCCTCAGATATCTGGTGATAGCAATAAACAATGCACTAAGACACTCCACCAGGTCATCAGGTAGATGGACAACCAGCCCTCCATCCTTGTACAAGTGTTAACATGTGTGATCAGAAGGATGATACGGTTTCATGAAGCAGTGCCCTTACTACAACTACACCACCTTCTCTCTCAAGGCCAGAATCTGTGACCTCACAGGGAGTCCCCTGCAATCAGTTGACAGGGCAAAGGGAGACTTGGGTTTTGACAGATGATTCTGTATAACATGTAGGCACCACACACACACACACACACACACACACACACACACACACACACACACACACACCTGAAACATACCTTGGTCCTTCCCCCTGTCTCATCAATGTCTTGGAGCCTCTATGGTCTTCCTGACTTCCTCCAGCTGCTCCTCGGTGAGATGGAGTGGCCATCTCTAGCCTCAGGCCAGCAGGAAGTCAATCCTAACGAGGGCCAGGACCACACGAGGAAAGTCAAGGATTCTCCAGGTCGCTAGGGTCCCAATCTCCCTGCAAGGAGGATTTCCTGTATTTCTTAGAAGAAAGAAGTTCCTGGAAGCATGTATTTCATCGGTAGAGTCTGAGAGGGAGCTCAGAGCAGAACGAACACGGAAGCTTAGGGAGGGGCAGTGTGAACGCACAGGCACAGCTTTTCTAGAGATGGTGTAAGGCGGCCACCGTGTGGAGGGGGCTGTGGGAGCGCAGACATTCACACTGCTGCAGACACATGTAACCCAAGGCCAGCTTGGGTCTCGTCACGGTGAACTTCTGCAGTGAGTGCAACCCAAATCTAGAGTTGTCTGCCAGGAGGAAGCCTCAACTGAATGATCGCTCATGACTGACTGGCCCGTGGCCACGTCTGAGAGTCATTTTCTTCATGCTAATTGATATCGGAGGGCCTAGTACACCGTGGCTTTTGCCATCCCTAGGCTGGTGGTCCTGAGCTGTGTAAGAAAGGAAGCTGAGCAAGCCAGAGGGACCAGCATGTGGCCTTCCCTCATGGTTTCTGCGTTAGTTCCTACTTCCAGGTTCCTACCTTGAGCTCCTGCCCTGGCTTCTCACCGACGGATTATAAATTGTAAACCAAACCTTTTCCTCCCCAAGTTGCTTTTGGTCGTGGTGCTTGTCACGGCAAGAGAAAAGCAAGCTAGAGCAGGCCTGTTCTCCGCAAAGACTAAGGTCAGAAGTGTGGGTTGAAGCCAGTCTGGGGGTAAATCCCAGCAGGTTTTCCTCCTGGATGATCTTCGCCACCACCTCACTCAGCCTGGACGGCCCCAAAAATGGAGGTAAAATGATAAGACGATCGCTTACTTTCTCCCAGAATTCAGTGCTCCCTCATAGGTAAGTGAAAGCTTTTCACCAGCTAGGAAAAACACAGAAATGGTCATGTTTTCGAGTGACTCCCTGTGTCCCAGCAACCCAATCTGATCTTCTCTTCTTCCTAAGCAAGAGGCTCACTGTGCAGGACACGGCTTCCTTGTTAGCAATGTAAAGTGGTGTTTAATGCTACAATGATCCTGAAGGATTGGGGGACGGGGAGCATACAGACTATACTTTGGTGAGGAAAACCACCAAAATCCTCCCTCTGCCCAGCCACTCCCCTCACCAACTTAATAAAGACTGCCCACTCTAAGGACAGTTCCCGCCTCCCCTGAGCATCAGGCCAATGCATAGAAAATTGCCTCGTTAAACTGATCAGGTGACATACATGTGCAGGTGCCTATGAGAGAGGGGCTAAAGGCCAGCAAAAGCTGTGGTGGCCGCTCCAGAACACAGAAAACCATAGACTGAAGGGGAGTGGGGATCTTGAATGAACTGTACGCTTTGGGGGGCGGGGGAGGGGTGGTGCTTAAAGTGAACATGAGGTGTCACGTAACTCCTTTGCAATTCAGCGGGGTGACTTTTGCCAAGTTGGCCTTTGCATGGAATGATCTTCCAGCGAGCATTGATTTTGCTCTGGGTTGCTTCTGGTTTGACTCGAAGGAAGAATGAGCGTCTCCTGCCCTCTAGTGACCATGGAGCAAACGTGGACGTGCAACATCCCTTCGTGCGACCCTAGGGCTCTCAGCAGGGACAGGGAGAAGAGGGACTATAAACTAACAGAAGTTGAATAGGGAGAAAGACACGGTCATGCAAGGAGGATCCTACCATGACAATGAACTGGTTCAAAGATCAGCAAGGAGATCTGGCATGAGTGAGACCTCTAGTGATCTAAAGGGATGACACCAACTGGCAAGCTAAGCAATAGTGGAGAGACCACCTTAAATGCCCATTCCTGATAATGAACTTGACGTCTACCCTATATGCCATCCTAGAACCTTCATCCAGTGACTGATGGAAGCAGAGGCAAACGCCCACAGTTAAACACTGAACTGAACCCATGCAACCCAGTGACAGAGAGAGAGGAGCGATGAGCAAATTGACAAAGAATGGGCTGGCGAAACCAGCAGAGACAGCTGATCTGGACAAGGGGAGAGCTCCTGGATCCCAGACCGACAGCTGGGAGGCCAGCATGGGACTGATCCAGACCCCCTGAATGTGAGAGTCAGTGAGGAGGCCTGGGCAACCTATGGGACCCTGGACAGTAGATCAGTGTTTATCCCTGGCATACAAACGGACTTCGTGTGTCCATAACATAAAGAGGGATGCTCTCTCAGCCTGGGCTCTTGGGGGAGTGCCTGGACCCTGCCCTGAGTGAAATAACAGACTCTAGATATCACCTATGTGGAAGGAATTGGCAATAGGGTGGGAGGCTGGGGGGGGGGTGGTGGGAAGGTGCGGGAGGAGGAGAGGGAGAGGGAACTGGGATTCACATGTGAAGCAAGATATTTAAAATTAAAGTAATAAAAAAAAGTTTAACTCTGGGCACCCACGCAACAATGAGAGATGCACTCTCAGCCTGGACTCTTGGGGGAGAGTCTAGGCCCTGCCCTGGATGAAATGACAGACTATGGACACCCCCATGGAGGGCCTCACCCTCCCTGAGGAAATGAGGTGCTATTGGAGGGGTTGGTGGGAGGGCATGGGAGGAGAGGAGGGAACAGGAGAAGGACCTGGAATTGACATGTGAAACAACCTTGTTTCTAATTTAAATTTAAAAAATAAAATATAAAAAGTAAGTTAAAAAAAAAGATTAGCAAGGAACCTGGGCACGTGGCACACACTTTTAATCTCAGCATTGGGAAGTAGAGGCAGGTGGACCTCTGTGAGGTCCAGGCAGGCCGGAGTTACATAGTGAGACCCTGTCTCCAAAAGCAAACAAACAAACAAACGAAAAACCCAAGCAAATGTAGAAGGAAGAGGAGGGAGAAGGAAGAAGGAAGGAAAGAGGAAGAAAGATTTTTCAAGGAGCCCACAGTCTCAGGACAGGGAAGCCACCGAGTCTGCCACAATGAAACTGTGCATAATGGTGTGTTTGGTAGTCCCTTAGAACAGGGGAGAATATGTGTTCTACACCCAGGGAGGTGCAGAAATAACCTCCACTCTGGTGCTTGTGGGGATTGTTGGAAGAACCAGGGGTGATGGCAATCTCTGACTGGGGTAGCTCTCTGGTGAGATCCAAGGGCATACGGGCTGCAATTCCACGCTACCATTATACATCATGGTATGAGCTAAGAAGTTCCCATCTGCTCCTTGTGGAAAACCCCACTTCCCTTCTACAGTTGACAGACGCTTGTCAAGGCTACACTCGGTGGGACCTATAAGCAAGGGGAAGGAGGCTAGCCCCTTGTAATCTGGAAAGATAAGGCGCTACCTTTCCCTCTGTGAGGTCTCTTGTGTTTGATGTGTGCTGTGTGGACAACTTATCCAGGGTCTCCGGCGTACTGTGGGGATCCCTTTTCTTTCCCCTCCTGGCCTGACCTAGTGCTCACCGCTTCTTTTAAGAATGGCGGAGCACGTAGCTCTGATGCTTGCCCTGCCAGTTTCCTTCCTGCTGGGCTCACTTATCCAAGGGACCCACCAGAAGTCAGGTGTTCCTTGCTCCAGAATGCCGAGTCCTCCTTTCTCTCATACCAGATTTGTGGACAGTTTGGGTTCAGAAGTATCGCTTCCAGGTCAGTTTGGCCTGACCAACCAGATGGGATTAACTGCAGATTGAGACCATGTTACAACTCCACGGGAAGGGAAGCTTTCTTTCCTTGGGGACACCCAGAAAAAAAGGCACAACTTGAGTTAATGTGGTAATATTCTTTTTTTAAATATTTATTTACTTATATTATGAATACAACATCCTGCCTCCATGTATGCCTGCACAACAGAAGAGGGCACCAGAACTCATTATGGATGGTTGTAAGCCACCATGTGGTTGCTGGGAATTGAACTCAGGACCTCTGGAAGAGCAGTCGGTGCTCTTAACCTCTGAGCCATCTCGCCAGCCCTATGTGGTAATATTCTAACCCTAACCCTACCCTAACCCTAACCCTAACCCTAACCCTCCAAGAGCCAACCTTCAGGGTTAATGTTAGCCTCTAGTAGAACCCACAAAACAATGTGTGTCCTTTTATTCCCTTTGACTCATCCCTGTTGGTCAGACCCTGACCTCAAAACACCATCAAGCCACTTCCCTATCGTATCAATCAGCCCCATTTTTAAGTTTCTGCCCGGTTGTTTCTTACTAGCATTAACCAGTCCACTTCTTAGACCTAAGTGGTAAATAACCAGCTTTACTTTGATCTCTTTGCCTTCACTCAACTGGCCTCAATCTAGATTAATCTCTGTGCTATCAAGGTACACATTTCCTATCTTGATTCTACTAAGCATGTACTCTTATTGAATGTAGTCACCTTTGTGTTCTTTGAGTTTCTTCTTAAAATGTTCAATATTGTTCACCTTGTTTATTTGTCACCAATTTGTGTGCGGGTGCAGTGGCTGGCTAGCCTTTGTTTATGATTTCGGTACTAATTGTCAATGTACTTTATGTGGGAGGCACACATGAATGTGGAGGTCAGAAGGCAACTTGCAGGATTTGGTCCTCTCCTGCCTTGAAGGTCCTGGGAATTGAACTCAAGTCGCCAAGGTTGGCAACAAATGTCTTTACCTGCCGAGCCATTTTATTAGCCCTAGTTTGGTATCAGTATATATGTCCTGTATGTCATAGTAAAGGATATGTTAAGAGCTGGAATTACGTGATACAGTTTCTCCACCCTCAAAAATAAGTTGATTCAAAGAGGCCTACAAATACGCAAGAGCACATGGTGATTTTCAGACAAGCTGACCTGCCTAGAGGAGGCTCTGACTAGCCAAACCAATTGGAAGAGACGCAGAACACCTGAAAGACAGTTGTTATGTCTGAAAACAAACTGAAACAGTCTGAGAGACAGTCCCCAACATGTTGAGATCCCTGCATGCTAAGCAGTGAGCTCCAGGTTCCCAACTTTCATGATCTGTCACCCGTGCTGGTGTGGGCTTTGGTGGTGGTCACTTCTGCTCCTGTAAGTATCCCCTCATCCATATGTCTATAAACAACCCCAATAAAACTCACTGGTCCCCAAGGTTGAACTGTAATGGTATCCTTACTTGGTCAGTTAGTCAGTTCCCTACATGGGATGAGTAGACTCCCCCGCAATAATGTCACATCGCAGACAGTATTACAAAATGCTTCCTATCAGAGTCTCCGTTCACTGTC